ATTGTGGCGTAATTATATTGCTGTTTACCGAAACAAAAGTAAAATATATATTACTAGTTGACCCGGCAATACTTCGCTATTGCAAGGTTTCTCAGTTATTAATTTGCTATTTATTTTCTGAATGTTAAATAATTATTTTCATTTTATACCATTTTAAATCATTTCTATGTGATAATGTAGCCGTAGAAATGTAACGTCACCACCACGGATTCTTCATGATGTATTGTAAAAATAAATATATCGCCTGTGTCAATAGAAAAATTGATACTTGTTGCAAAACTTTTTCATTTTAAAAGATTTATTTATAGTATTTATAAATTTTGTAGTTATAACTATGCATAGAATAAAAAATATGAATTATGCTAATATTTTGATAATTCAAAAATTTAACAAATTTGTTTCTTAAGAACTTAAACTTTTTCTCAATTGGGGGCAAAAAATACAAATTGAACCTGGATGTCTTACGTGACTGGGCAATATATAGTTAACCATGAGAAAAACATAGAACACTTAGGTCAATTCCAGCAACTTTAAGTGTTTATATTTATTGCAAATGCTAATTGAATAGGAAATTGAATGCGTTTAAACTGAAAAGGTAGATCTGTGGGTACCTATAATTGGTTTGGTGTAATCGCTCAAAAAAAATAAATGTTAATAAATAATAACTAATAAGTAAAAAGCAGAAAAAAATGGCATCTTATTCTGGGGTCTGAACTCGAGACTTTCTCTTTGGAATTACGTTAAAGTGCCACTGCACCATAAGATTTTATAATACGCGCCGGTAATTTAGTAGTTATTTAAATAGCGATGTATCCTATATCTTTATTAATCAAGTTATACGAATAAATTATACATACAAACTATACTCGGCTAATTACCTACCAAACAGTGAAAACCACATCAAAATCTTTTCTGCCGTTTCAGGGTTTAGCCTGAACAAAAAAAAAAAAAAAAAGCAATTACATTTTATAATATGTATTGATATTGATGATACGTGTCGTACAAGAGGTATCTATTACAGATTAGTCTAAGAATTATCACTTCGAACGAAATCAAATTCACTACACGTAAATATATTAATTATTATTTATTAATAATTGCTATAGGTAGAAATAAAACCCCATATTCGTTTCAAAATAACATCGCTATATCCGAATTATCGTTGTAACCGATATCGTTATATACGACTAAAAGTACTATGTCTACTACACATGAGATATAAAACCAACCAAATACATTGATTGGAATCGTTTTACCCATAATATCGTTTTATACGGCATCGTAATTAGCGAATGTTCTGAATAACTGATTCATAAACAACGCAAAGCCGAACCTAATAAGAGCTATCGATTTGAAAATTTGAGAGTAGATTACCTAATATTATAGTTTCACTGTTTTTAAGATAAATATGCATGTATATATATTTATACTGTTCAATTATGTTCAGAATATTATCAATTACTTACCTGTTAAAGTGATAATTTTGAACCGAACACTTTGGTGTCTAGATCGTCAATAATATTTTTTGTATCTGTTGATATCTGTACGATGGATGAGATCTATAAATTGATATCAAAATGTACAAAATGTATATTATGATTATTTATGAATTAAAACTTTCGTTTAATTAAATAAATTAGATAGTCAAAAATTTTAATGATAAGACCTGCAATAAAAACGTTCAATCAATAAAAAAAAAGTAATTACGAAAAATAGTAGCTAGTAGGTACTGCGTAATTAATTTCTTCAAAATTGTAGAAGTTACTAATGGGTTTTGGATTAAAGATTAAAATTATCAGTGTAATTGTTCTCAATTTTTTACTGGAGAATGAGAGAATATGTAATTATATTCTCTTTATTTTCATTCATAGATCCATTAAATGTTTTAATAAACATTCATTACAAAATAATATTAAAATAATTGTATACGAATTTCGCTAATACACATGAAACAATAAATTATATCATCACACAAACGTGAAAAATGACTACATTATGTATATTGTATAGTGCGTATGTACCTAATGCATTTACTCTGAAAATATCAACGATTAAAGTTAAAATTCTAACATTAGAATTGAGAAAACAGCAGTCAATAAACGGTAACTCTCACAACAATATACAAACTATTATAGATTAATTATTAATTTCTATATAGTAAATATATTTATCAATTTTAGATAATATTAATTTAAATTGAAAGTATAGACAAAACCTAATAAAAGAATAGTTAAATAATTAGAGTTTGGTTCTTACACTACATATAAATCTTGGCTAAGTAATAGAATATAAGTTAAAAATATTAATATTAATATTTTAGTTTTGCATTAATGTCGATTTACATATAGAAATTAATTAATTGAATGGTCAATAAAATGTTATAAGCCAATCATGAGACACTAAATCATATTTTAAAGACTATGTGTTACCCTGTTTAGAAAAAAAAACCCGTTTCTTTATATTCATCATGAATTCTAGAGCCAATTATTTTAAAATATTGAATAAATAGTATTTATAATAAATATTGTTAATTAAAATACTCAATTCAATGAAATTTTAATTATTACGCATAAACAAAAACGATGTAACAATTCTCAGCTTTATTGATTAGTCATTAAGTAAAGTAATAATTCTATTTTGTCACATTGAATACAATTTAACAGCAGTATTTAACGCGTTACTTCATACAATTTAAATAAATACCAGCTTTGGTTACCAATATTGTTGGCCAATTAATATCAAATAAATAACTGTAAAAAACAGTGTAAAATTAGAGAACATTTAGATCAATATATAATATATTAATATGTATATCAGATGAACAATACACTTAAGAAAAATGACAGAACATAATTGTTTTATGTACACAATTCATATTATACAATAATACAATAATTTATAAATGTGTAGAAAAAAAATCAATATTCGTCTTAGTCATAAATATTTAGTATTGTGTGAAGGTTACAATGGAATTATGAACTATGAATCATTCAATTCAATTGACTGTAATTATAATGATTTCTGTATATTGTGTACAATATGCCTCAATTATTAGTTTAAATATCTTGAACATAAATAAATTACCAAAATGACAGAAAGGTTTTATTATAATATTATTATCCAGTAAAGTTGAATGATCCATAAAACATAACTGCTCAACAATACAATATAATCTAAAACATTAATGAATACAATATATTAATAATCAACTTAACGTTTTTCAGAATGGTATTTAGAAAACTATTTCATTTTTTCCTGCAAGTTATGATACTGAATTTGTGATGTAAGTATAATTGTATTCACATACAATATACATAAATATGTGCAGTGATAATATTTCTATAGAAATAAGTGCACTATTGTATTTAATTTCTTTTTAACATTTGACAGCAGAAATATGTAGTTTATATACAGCTTCATGAAAATTGTTAAAGACGATTTTACAGACAATTGTGGATTGGTATGACAAAAAATTTAGTTGTCTATTTTATAATCAGAATACAACAATAATTATAAAAATACTAATAATAAATAAATTTAGATCAATGTATAATCTGTATTTTTTTTTTTTTTTTGCGTAAAATACTTTCCTAAAAACGTTTTGAACACATCATTATAGTATAATATTTTACTATATATATATATATATATATATAATTATATATACAAACATATATATGTAATTCATTTTAACATTATTTATACTAAATCTTAAAATAATATTTATACACTTTACACTAAAGAAGTAGAGATAAGTTTTTGATTTTATACGCTTGAATTCATCAAAATGCTAGGTTATTAATTATATAAACACGGATAAATGCAACAATACAATTTGTTCATATGGACACGTAATTGAATAGACATAAGTTAGTGAGATCTAAGAGATTTTAATATAACTAAAGACAAGTAGGTGTACAATATTTTAACAGTTTAGTTTTACTGTCATGGTAAGTTTATGAAAGTATTAAAATATGAAGGAAATAAAAATGAAAGCTAAAAAATTTATTATGCCATAAATCAATGCAAGAAATGTACATCATTTTTCTATCACTAAAATATAATTATTGTGGAACTGTTAAAATACTGTACATACATCATTGGTTACTAATCGACAGCTATGTGTGGGATATATATAAAATGATACCATAAGTGTACAATAATCAGACCATCAATATATTAAATACATTAAATAGTGATCTAAAATAAATATCATACAAAGTATAAATGCAATGTAAAATTATTGGGAAACAATAAAAAAAAAAGCCAAATTATGTCAACATACTTGATAATTGAAGCTATACAAGCAGAATAATTTGAATTGAATGGGACTTATTTAAAACATTCATCTAAACATCGAAAATAATTTTAAAATATATATATACTTAAACAAATTTTAATCAAAAATAATAAATAGTAACTTAAAAATTATACATTTACAATAATAAAATTTAAAAATTCACTAACAGACGGAGCAGAGACAAAATGTTCATTATGATTTGATGTGTTTAATAACATAATTTATTTAGAATATAATTTTTTAATTAATGTTTTTCACATACTTTAAACATGTTTATCAGGACGGAATCAGAAAAAAAAACTTATTAAAATGTCATGTAAATCCTATTTGACCACAAAAACATATTTTGACTTGATTATTAAATTATTATTCAGTTTACATTAGTAGTATAAAAGTAAGAAACAAAAAAATTATTTCAAAGAATTAATGAATAATTAAAAAATAATAATAATAATTAGTAGGAGTTATGTTAACAACATTATGTTTACCAATTTGTACTTCCCTTATTTACAATTTATTTTAAATTAAATAAATCAAAATGAATGAAAAAAATTTATGGAGATAATTAATAGTAAAACATTTTAGACGAGAAAAATTAAATTAATTGAACTATTATATTTAAAAAAAAGTATTTATTAGAAATATTGAAAAAATATTTATGATAAAAATAATAAAATTAATATATTTCTTGTAGATGTGTATCTAAAAATTAGTACTTAAAAAATAAGGGAATATTAATAAAAATAAGTTGTTTTATTTAGTTTTTCGTTATAAAAATTGAAAAATGTACATAAGTCAAGGCCTGTCTTTAGTGTTATAGTGAAATAAAATTGTTTTGATCAGCTCAACAATGAAATAACTACTAAATTAATATAACAACCTAACAAGTATTAAGTCGTATAGATTTTGGTGGTCAATCATAAACTCAGGTTTGCCTAAAATAGCAAGTAATATTAAAAACATTACATCTATCTATATATATATATATATGTATAATGTATATAAATATTATTAAAAAAGTCAATATAATTTCTACGTAATCTGTACACATTAAAACATCATTATCACAGGATAGAGTCGCAAGTATATAATCAGTCTACTGTCAGCATATGGCCGCTTCATCACCTTCAAGTGTCCCAGCCACCTTATTTAACTTATGACTGAGATTAATCTTTTGACAATATGGATCCAATTCTAATGAATCTAAAATCTAGAAAATAAATTAATAAATTAGTAGTAAACAGTTATAGTTTATACAGTTTGATTAAACTTTTTCATTAAATTAAAATAAATAGTAATTATTATACATAATTCACTTTACAATCCAATATATATTTTTATTTTTTGTTTTAACTTACTGCATCATTATATTTAGAAGCATAAATATATAGTTCTTTCAAAGCAGAAACTATGTGGAATTGACCGAAATGAGAAACAGATAACTGCTGCATAGTTGTGCTTAATTCTTGATCAGTTATTTGAGGTAATTTTTGAATGTCACTGTAGAATCTGAATAACAAATAAATAAATAAATAAATAATATTTAATTTTAATTTTAAATGTATTAGTGCTACTTATTTTTAAGTAATAAATGTTATATCATTTAACTAATAATATACAATTATACTATAAACATTTATTTTTAAAAATGTTTGTTACATAATAATATATGTCACATTATGGTATTAAAAATGATTATTACCTTAATACAGTCTCTCTATACTGAGGTATATCTTTTGCAAAAAGAAGTTTGTTTGATGGTGAATCTTTGCCTAATCGATGATCAGAAGTTGAACATGAATCCATAAATGTTTGAGCAATAACTGATAAACAAGAGTCAACCGTAGGAGTTTTGTCAATATCAAATATGAAATCTGGGTTTTTAATGAAATTCACCCAAAACCTCAATGGAAGACTGTAAATTAAATATTTAACTAGTTTAGTAAGACAATCAAAAAAATTAAAATAAAATTGAAAATACTAACATTATTTTTAAGTAAAAATTACAAATGGTTTCAAAAATTATTAAATAATTAAGTTATTATTACCTATTTGACTTCCAAGAATGAACAACTTCTGGATCAATTATGTTGTATTTTTTAGCAGCATCATCAAACAAATCAAATAACCATTTTACAGCTGGTGGGAGAGTTTCATTAGCTGCTAAAATTGTTGAGAAAAAATCATCAACAAATTTCTGAATCGTTCCTTTTGTAGACAATAATCTAGTTAAAAATATCTCCGGAATCGCCTTATGGGTTCTTTCTGGCATTTTATTTGTATGATATTGTTGCTGTGTATCAGTAGATCTAATTAAGTGATACACAGTGCCAGTGGAACTAGAACTGGTCTCAATACCTCCATTAGTTGTTGATATAATAGGACCAGAATAGTATCCAGAAGTACCTAAACATTTTAAATAATTATTTAAATGAATTTTGAAATTACAATCTGACTATTTCTAAGTAATTACAATTATGGCACGATTGCATACAAGATTTATTGTATGTATCATGTTGGCGTGGAATAAGGGTCATTACAGCAGATTCTTTTACACCATAGTGTGCAAGGGTATTTAACTTTTTCCATCCACATATATTTTTGGTAGTAACATCATAATCTTGAAGTGTAAGATGACCTCCTCGTCCATGACGCCATTCTTTATGAATAATAAATTATATTATTATACATTCATAAATTAACATGTTAAATTTTAATTATTCTTACCTAAATCAACATCATAAACAGATGGTCTAAGGGAGAAAGCTGTATTTTTATAAACAGCATCAAGAATTTTAGATTTAACTTGACTAATTGTATCACAGTCTAAGACTTTACATTGCACTTTATCATCTAATTCATCTTGCATAACATATAAATTCTGAAATATAAACGAGAGTAGTTTATTTAACATTATTAAAATGATTAAACAATTTATTTTTTTCTTAATTATACTCACTACAACTCGATGGTCTATTTGTTCTCGAAGTAAACGGTCTTCGGATAAACTATATCTGGCATCATATGTCAAGGCATCAACTGGGCCTTTTTCGACTTGATGTTTAATGGCTTTATAAAGTAAAAATAATGATGACCCTGCATAATCTTTAAGATACTTATACATGTTGAGTGCCATCCAATTAGTTAACATTTTTTCAACAACAGATTCAGTTCTTCGAAGCATTAAATGTGGATGTTTAGACATAACTGATTTATCAATTAGTCTAAGTAACAAACTTCTCAATACGTCAGTTGCATATTCCATTTTATTCATTAAAACAACCATAAGCAATGAAGCAACATTGACTCTGAAAATTGAAATTCAAAGTTAAGTAAAATATAAATATGTATGGTTAAAATCAGCTAAATTATTAATACTGACTTGTCACGAATGCTAAAAGTTTTTTGAGATTCAAGAGTATCAATGAACGATAATACAAAATGTTTATTGTTTATAAGCTGCTCAAATTGCATCATAGCAGCATCATAATTTGTTGTTGATCCGGCAATAACAACCTATGATTATAAATTATAAAACATTGATTAATAAATAATAGAACAATTTTTTTTTTAGAGTTAAACGTTTTATATTACTCACTTTTGATTCGTTCAAAATAGGATGATCTCGAACACCAGGGAAAAATACTTTTAAAATATATTCATTGTGATCTAATGTAGGTATACCAGAAGATTCTAAATCTGCAGTTAAGTCAGTCATATCAGTTTGCAATTCAGCAAAAGCTAAAATTCAGGAAACATAATAATTGTAAAAGAATAAATTTTTTTTTTATGAAAAAAAACCATTTAAATTGTAGGAATTAATAAAAATCAATTAATAGATATAAAACTATACTTCCAAATAAAAAGTTAATAGTTATATTTTTTAAAGTAGAGTTAAAACAAAATAAAGAAATGTGATAGAACCTTGTTTACACTCGGAGCGAACATTGCTTTCTAATGTATCCATTTGAATTTGAATACGTTTGTATTCTCTTTCAGCTTGTGTGGATTTTCTTCGGTATAAAAATAATATGATGAAAAAAATTATGATTATACACAAGGCACTTGTAACAGCACCAGCAATTGCCTCTGGCGAAAATGAATATGTTGATAGCACATCATATTGTAAGTATCCCACATTGAATCTTAGTTTTTTACCAACACGAACCTAAATACATAAATCATGAAAATGAATTACTATGTGTCTTAGTTTAATAAATAATTGAAACTACACTGATTGATATAATGTTAAATTAGTGCATATAAAATTATAATAAGTTTTCAAGGATTACAATCAGAGCTAAGATATAATTATTGTATATGTATGCATAATCATTTAAAATTTGACATAACATATTAAGTTAAATATTTTTGATTTTATATGCATGTCAATATGACTCCTATAAATTAATTGTAAATAATAAGTTACCTAACGCATAAAAATTCTAAGCCTTGACTATTATTGTATTGAAAAAAATTCAAAATTAAACTCACCACAACCAAAGGTAATCCTGTTTTGGTAGGTGAACCAAAATCATCAATAGATTGTGGTTGATATTGAGGGGGAATACAAACTAGTTGAGTATTAGCCAATGAAGTGACGTTGCATACCTCCATTCCAATAGTTACATTAACATCAGATTCATCACAAGCCAAATTTAAGTTTTCACCCTAGTTGATAATTATAACAAATTATTAATAAACTTATATATCAAATAGGATTGATTCAAATTTTATAAAATAAACATAAGAAAAAAAATAGCTGACAGTTCATTTAATTGTATGAAAATGGTTTAGTAAAGATGTTGAAATATTCAGGAAAAAAGAATTTAAAAAAAGTAAATTTACATATTTTTATACTGTTATATGCATAATATTGCTTCTGTAATATGTTTACTAACCTCTATAACTAATGTATCGCCTTTATATGACTTAATAGTATTTGAGAATTGGAAATATTTTGGATCTTGCACATACACAATTTGTGACTGTAAGACTTTCAAATGTTTTTCTAAGTCTTTGACAGCGGCAACATTATCCATGATAAATCCAATTTTCAAAGTCAAATAAGAATCTAAATATTTCCCATTTGTAGTGTGTCTTCTTCGTTTTCGATAACTCTTAATACTTTTTAAGAATTGGCCGTTAGCAGAAGGGGATGGACATTCCATTTGAGCAGAATTAAGAACTACACATTCCTGTATAAGAAAAAAAAAAATATGTTAACTTTATTTAGTATAACCACTTTTACATATTGATATAATTATTAAAAATAAACTTACAGTTTTATTGATGGGATGGAGGAAGTCAGAATCAACATAGATAACCATTTCTGGCTTTTGGATAATATCAAAATTTGTACCATGAACTGTTATCATTCTACCTCCAGACAAAAAGCTAATTAATGGTTTAATTTCAGCAACGGTTGGATCACTTCGATAAGTGAAAGGTTTGGCTAATGTTCTATTGGAACCATCAATAATTAAATGCATTGAATTTACAGTCAGTGGTCTATTAGCTGCTGAAGTCACACATGTAAGTCTTGTGCTTGATGCATGAGTTGTATTGACTGTACATGGGAAATTATCAAGGTATGCAGTTACTGAGCTTCCTATGTTTAAATTATGTCCACTAATGGCCAAAAGTGTACCACCACTCTGAGGTCCCATGCTAGGAGTTACTTTATCCAATTGAACACTCTGTAAAATATATAAAATAAGTATTGAATAAATTTAAACATATTATGTTTAATAAATATTATACCTTATAATTGAAATGTACAGATGATTCAGTCAGACCAGCATTATTTCCAACAACAATAGAAGCAATCTTTTCAGTATTTGATGGCCCAGTTCTACAAACTATTTTTACAGATACTTCATAATCAACTAAATGACACAAAATGCCACCTATATGGATTTTCCCCCAAACATCTTCTCGGTTTAGACCTAAATTACTTCCTTCAATAGTGACCAAAGTACCGCCTTCAATTGGTCCACTTAGAGGTTTTATCTAAAAAAATAATTCAACATTATAACTCATATTAAAAATAACTCTTATAATTTTTAATACCATATCTATTCTTGGTTTTGGACATTCATTGCTAGATGTTTCTAAGCAGGTTTCTGAATACACACAAGTACTTAAACACCAAGTACATTGATATTTGCGATTTCGTGTAACACATAATGAACAGTCAGGATGTTCTCTATGAGATCCAAGAATATCACATTTATATAATGTCACATTTATCGTATCAACATGATGGTTTCTATTCCAAACCATACTGACCATAGCATCATATTCTCCAGAATTAGTTTCATATGAATACTAAAATAATATTAATATATACGATTAAGATGTTTTCTATCAAAATAGTATCTTAAATCAAAAAAATATTTAAATTTACAGTAGTCTTATCACAGACGATAAATTTTTCTTCTACCCTTGCAGGAACCATTAGTTTAGCTCCTTCAATATTAATTATACATTGAAAACCTGTATGTCCAACTTGAGGGTTGGGTAAATTTTCTACTTGTAAAACTATTTCTTTAGGAACACCATTAGGTAATAATATTTTTTGAGCTGGCTGCACAAACCGTGGACAAAACATTGCACCATGGCTTTTAAGACGAGTAGGATTCTAAAATAAAAAATATGATTAATTAAATATAAATATATACAATGTTGAAGATTTTAACTTACATTTTCACCACTAATAATAATACGCTGACAACTAGATATATTATTTGTGCATTTATTCTCATAGACACACCAATTACAAGCCCATTGAGATTTAACACACTCCATACATCTGGTATGAGCTGAACAATCATAGTAAGCAAAATTTCTGCTTACAAAGTCCTTATTTGTTTCAGAAGATCTCACTGACAAAGATACATATATATGATCTTGGTTTTTTGGAATTTTTGGACGTGATTGAACTGGCGGAGTTGAGCACTGTAATCCAAATTGTGTAACAACTGCATCTAATGGATCACTTTTACCAAAAACACAACGATATTTTGCTCCAGCAGGTAATTCTGGTAGTGTTTTAATTGCAAGTTGTAACTGAAAAATAATATGAAATAAAATGAATAAATAAATAATATATTCCATCTTGCATAATAATATTTTCATTATCATTTAAATGTGTAATTATTAAATACGATACAATTTTTTTTATTAAGAACAACAACTACAACCATTACCTTTGACATTTGGTGAATTGGAATCCGATCTGGACTAATTTGTTCAAAATCAATACATTGTTGACCAGTACCAAGTGATAACCATCGTGGTGAACTGTGACTTGCTTTTTGACAAGTACTTCTAATAGTACACCTAATATTTAAATTCATAAAATATAAATAATTAATTTAGATATTGTTAAGAGTTAATAATAAAATTATAAGTAAATATTAATTAATTATGTATATTTTATCATAGTATATTATAATTATAAATTTATTGAACCAGTGCAATTAATTCCGTGAGACATTTGAAATATTTATAATTGATTTATTTTTTCAAAAGAAAAAAAAGAACACCTAAAAATAAATTCACAATAATTGTATTATGTACTTGTAATTTGTCGATTTTTTTTTTTTTATATAATAATAAGTAATAACATAAGAAATGAATATCTAAATTTTTTGAAAATTGAATTATTTATCTCTCACCAAATTAATCAACATTATTAATGCATTTCTTCAACAATGTTTTAAAACCATAAATTTGTAAAATAAAACAACTATACCTTCTTTCAAGAGAACACCAACCACAGTAAGGATCATTTGCTTCCAAACACGAAGAACAATTAGTAAAACTGTAACAATGCTCTACTCTCACTTTCAATACCTTAAAATAAACAATAACGATTTTACTTTTATCTAACTTACTAAAATTATGTAAATTAAAACTTACATTGCTTCGAGTTAATACATATAAATGTTCTCCATTAGTGGTAAGTGATGTATCTGGTAATATGGCATTTCCATTGTCCAAGACTAATTCTTCATAATTTACAGCATGTGTTGCAGATGATAACAATACCTTTTATTCATAAAATATAATAGTTAAACAATTTAATATACTTACGTCTTAGCTAATTAATTTATTAATAAAAAAAAATTTGAATTTACTTTTTTAAGAACTCCTGTTGAAGTTCCCAAAAAAATTATAGTATTTCTTTCTGTTGTTGCTAATGTTATTGAAGAAATAAGATGATCGGGAAAATTGATTGCAGCTTGTGTAGTAATTGGTTCTGTTCCTGATATTTTTAAGCCAATTTCACAAAAGTTTAAAATATTTCCAGTTGACTAAAAAAAAAAAAAAAAATTATAAAAATATTAATTAATATTAAATTAAATTAATTTTTATTTCATAAATACTCACCCCTGCAGTTGGACAATTTCCTTGTAATATTAGTCCAGAAACATATGGCATATTACGATATTTGATTGTACCATTAAAACACATATGAATGTTTTCATTAAACTTAGATTCAATATATTGCATACTAAATGCACATATTGCTGATTTAGGCATTGGTTCATTGGTAATACCTTGACTTGGAGAAAAAGATCCAACTAAGACCTGGTCATTAGTATCAATACCAAGACTGGCTGCTAAGTCTTCACCAGCATTACTTAGCTTTAGGTCTTGAGCAAGTTTATAATTCACTAAATCATCAGAGTTGGATGTTTCTTTTACCATACATTGTAATGTAACTTCAGTATAACTATCATAATTGGCATCATCAATACAAACTCTGGCTAATCTAGTAACATATCCTAACTCTTCTTGTCCTGGTAATGGTGAATGTTTCTGAACAACAACAAAATATGCATAATCACTTGAATTGAATCCATAAATATATTTAACAAGGAAACGGTCACGATAATTAACGTTGATGTTAAGTGAAGATTGTTTTAAAAACGAGGTTTCTGCTAAATTTAAAGTGTAAAGACTACGACTTGAAATTGCTGGTACAGCATGTCTATAATCTCCATTGTTAGTAAAAGTGGTTCCAACATATAATACATTTGAATATCCCCAATTATTATAATGTTCTGGTCCAATGAAAGCATATGTAGAAGCTTGTTCTGTATTAGCAGCAATACTCATAGGAATAAATTGTGCTGGTAATGACACATTTGACATTTTATACTTGTTACAAGCTCCTTGAAAAATAGAACCGCATACTATTAACATTCGAGATTCCAAGTCGATGATTAGAATTTTGTTATAGTTGTCAGTAAGTGATGTTTCAATGGGTGGAGAGGTTGGACAGCCACTTGCTGGACATTGTGGACTATCTGAGAGTGGACCAGTATTGGTACATGTCTCCACAGTTAAATTGGTTCCTTCTAGTTGTATCAATTTGTTTACTGCACCAATGTAAACTCGACCCCCTAAACTCTTGTCTACAGCCATGTGAAGTAGATGGTTTGAAAAACATTCTGACTGTGTACTCTGTGGGTATTTAGCTATAACTGACATCGCTAAACTGCATTTTAATGTTGTAGTTATTAGCAATAACACCAACACAAAACATAGTTTGGAATTCGGCATCACCAATTTTCCTAAGATAATACAATTATAACATATTTTAAATTAATTAATATAAATACTTATTATACTAAAACAGTTTTTAACTAATTTATTTATGACTTACCCACAGTAATAAATTTCCAATCCATTTAAATGATATCGGCATTTTCAAGAAATCAACAACATTAATTTTATGTTTCTTAACATGATCTTAAAAGGAAAGCACTCATTTATCTATTAGAAGACGATCCATATTGTCCATAACTATACATTCTAAAAACAAATAAAAAATATTTTCAATGAATAATAATATATAAATGTTTTGTAATACTATTATAAATAACACATTATTGTTTTATTTACTTTTAGTATTATGTTAAATATAGCAATTCAATTTTACAACATTTTTAATATTATCAATTCTTTATTTTATATTATATAAATAATAAAAAATACTACCAAATAAATGGCCTAATCTTAAGGATCAAAAAATGATAAAATAGGTACATAGACATTAAAGAAAAAGTTAGCATATACAAATTTAATTATTTAATAATTTATTTTTATAGTAAAAATAATAAATTATAAACATAAAAAATGCATGAACAATGAACATGAGTCTTCAATTAATCTTTCAAATATATTTAAAGAATAAATATGAGGGAATGAGTGAAAACATTCAATATTTAATTAAATTTAATATTCAAGTGATAAAGAAAATAAATATAGGAAGCTAAGTAGACAATCATTAAGCTATCATAATTGAACTAACAAAGGTTCATTCCATCATTGCATGAATACTACCAATCCAAAAAAAACTAAGAAGATATTTAATACATTATAGTGTTAAGTACAATAATAACATAGGACATAAATTTAAAATTAACACATTTTAATACAAACTTACAAATAAAAATGATGAAAATTATACACTATGATTTTAGAACTGAAATTTCATTACAATAAATCAATAACTATAATTTAGTAAACATAAAACAACTTATCAAAAAACATTTAGAATTGTTAAAATACAATATAACCAAAATAAGTTATAGTAAGGGTTTTGTCATAAAATTTAGGTAAGCATTGTTTATTAGTTTTCTGAAAGAATTTCATGAAAGTATAATGCTTAAAATAACATGGGAATTATAAGACTATTTAAATCGTAACAAAAATAATAAAATAATTTGAGCAATTTTTATTCAAATATTTTTTCCTGTACCTATTTTATTTTGTATTTATTTACTGTTTTTCATTTATAGAGCATTAATATTAATGGTTTTAAAATTTATCTTTCAGTAATTGACTTTATCTATGGTTAGGTATCAAAAAGGATACGCCTGTAATTTAAAACCCATAATATATTATTGGCTAAAAATAAATAATATATTTAGGTATAGGTAAATTATATAAATTTTGTTAACATACAGTATACTGCTAACATTTATAAGTGGTTTTAAAAATAATTTAAATTTTATCAAGAAAATTGAATTAAAAAAGCTGTTTATAAATATTTATTAAAGAAAAAATATAGTGCAATTGTAGTGCAAATACCTAAATATTTAATAAAAAATATATAATTATGTATTATCAATAAAAGAAATTGACTTTTTATATATTTATATTTATTAGTTATAAACAACAAATTAAAATAAAATATATTAATTTACATTTAAAATGAATGAATAAAAAATGAATTATAATTATTGCTTAAGAGTCGGTATTATATTTATAATTATTAAATTGGTACAGCACTAACTGCTTTATTACTAATAATATTGATACCCATATATTATAGGTAAAGTACATAAAAAATTCAAAATATTATTAGTTAAGTGCATACAATAAAATTAAAATAAATAAATAAATATTATCTTGAGAAAGTTTATTTTTCATGACACTTGCTTTTATAGAGTATAGATATTCTTTAACTATAAAATTGTCAATTTTCTTTTTATGAATACATCTACACCTATTTGCAGAATAAGCATGCGCACAAGGCATACAGGGTATATCCAGGCATGCCCTGTGATTTTTCATAAATTATAATTGTTTGCTTATACCATTCAACCAATAAATTTCATCCCATTTTCTTTTGAAAAATCTTTAAGTGAATATAATAGTTAAGTATTTATTTTTTAATCTTTGTATAAGTATTTACTTTTTTTATGTTACAAATACATATCAATCATATCATATAAATATCAATATAATATATTATTTGATAACAAACATATTATGTACCTATATTACAATAAATATTACTATTTATCGCAAAACTATTTTTCTTGTTTGTATTATGACATTTATAATCTAGTAACTAGTTAAATAGTTTAAATAGATAAATTAATACATTGTTGTAGGATCATAATTTATTGTTCATATTTTTAACTACTTAACAAAGCAACTTTTTTTTTTATATAGTTTTTAGAGCATTAAAATTCAGGCTCTATCAAAAAGATAAAATTACTTTTTAAAAATATAATGATATTAATATAATTAAATTGTAAAATAAATACTAAGCCAATCAATAATATGTGGTTAAAATATTAAATGTAGGTATACTTAGTTTGTTAGAACAATGTGAAGTCAAATTATGTAAGTAGGCATCAACTATATAAATATTGAAAAATGTTCTCAAGTTAAATACAATTTATAACATAACACATTCATATCATAAAGTATAGTCATAACATTTTTAGGCCTTTTCTGATTTCTTTGAAAGTTCAATCAAAAACATATTTAAAATGTTAATTTAAAACTTTAATATTTATAAATTGTATACTTATCATCATGGGATTGAAAATATAACCCTAAATGAAGTATTAAATAGAATTTTGATATAAATATATATTGATTACCTAATAAATGTATACATATTTCTTAATTTACTAATGTTTTTAATGATCATAGTGAATGCCAAAAATTCAGCCAAAACTTTTTCTATGACTAAATCATTTGACTGCCACAGGTGTAATGTTTTATATAGAAAATATTATTCAATTATTATTTTACTATTATATTTTAATATTATGTATATATAAGTAAAATTAAGTATTTACAATTTTATTCAATATTAAAAATTGAATGTCTTAAAATTTCAGTAAGTGACACCCTTTTAGGCAGGAAAACTCAGAAATATTGTTAAATAAAAAAAAACAAGTACTATAAAATAAGATAAAATATTATACAAGATAAGTTACAAATAAAATTGAAATTATTCAGTGTGAAAAGAATAATAACATTGGAATAGAAGATTAATACAATATTGAATATGTTTGCTTTGTGTCATAGACCTATTAAAAATTCAACATTAACATACTTTAATCACGACAGAAAGTAGATACTTATTTTAAGTATATAAAGAATGTTAAAATAACAACAAAATGTCAAAATGTACCTATCAACTACTAATTGATCAATGAGAATCACTAATTCTAAAAATGGATTTATTTACAATATTAACGAAAACAACTTTTATTCCTTACAATCGTTGACCCTGAATGTAACACTGATCATGTTGCATAAAACTCTAACCATAGCAGTCACCAATATGATTTACTAAATACATGTAATTAAATGATGCTTAGGTGTTTTGATTGAAACTTTATGCCGATAATAAACTACAATAGTAGATCACTAACCTAACCTAACCGTGGTTATCGATAATAGATAGGTAGTTCCTACATCACTACTCTCCCATTCATGTAACGACAAGAGATTAAACAGGTATTAACAGACAGAAAATATGGTGAAATGCACAGGTATCGAACAGACAGCAATGGTGAAATGTGTAAAATCTACATTTGAAAAGACTGTACGTCGATCAATCGAACAACATCTCCCGTCACTAGTTGACAGTACCTTATAAGCAAAACACTGCTCGGTGGTTTTTTTACAATAATGACAACAACACACTTGGTACAAACGGGCCGAGTGACACAACACACTCGATGCAATACGCAAACCTACAGCATTTATTTTTTACGGCGTTATTGTGCACCTTACCTGGAATACGGGGTGGTGGTGGTAGCGGTCATAACGATATCACTCGTGCCCAGCGTCGACGAGGAGGTGATGAGTGGACTTCGGTGCGTCGCAAAAGTGCAAAATCGGCGACGGGCGAACTAGTCGGCGTCGCTTTTCGGTCGTGTGCCGGCGGGGCCGCTACAACAAGAACGTCACGCGCACGGCCCAACTGCCCTATGCGGCGCCTGCCGTGTGTTCACCGAAAATCGTCGTCGGTAGCTGCGGTGAAACAGCGGTTTTGACGCGATTGCGGACGTTATGTAACTGACGGGCGGCAACTGCAGACGGCGTTCCGTGTGTCAAACGGCAAATCAAACACAAAAACAATACATTTTCCAGGCCATTATGTTGTGTGCGAGTGAAATATTGTTAAGAATTTATGTTATTATCAATTGTATCAAACAAATTTCGATTTTGTTAGATATGGAGGTAGCGTTTGGCTTCCATTTTGGAACCTCCGACGCGGCTAGAGTTGCGTCGTGATCGTACTGCGGCTCCTACACTGCCCGACGGTCACGGTCAAACTGGCGCAACTCTTCATCTCGTAATATGGGCATTACGGCTATAGATACCGAGACAGGCATACAGCTATATTATATAATTTTGTTTTCAAATTTCAGCGCGCTTTTCTTCCTCTTTTGATTTCTACCAACTCTTTCGTTTTAATAAAAGTGCTTATATTTAAGCGGGCCAATTTTTCACCTTCATAGTAAATATATATTTTTTATGTATCTATATGTATGACGGTTTGAAGGGTCATGTTTTTAATATTTTAACGGATTAATAAAATTAGAAAGTTGGAAGTTTAAAATAGCTTTTGTCATGGGTAGGTCCATACCAATAATAAACAATAAATAATAAACATATCTATTACCTCCATACATACATATTGTCTACACGACAATATTTTATGGATTCCTACTTCCTAGCTGAATGTTTTCTTATATAGAAGAGAGCAAACATTTTAAATTTTTACTCAAGTAAAACGAATAAATAATATTTTGTATAATATATTACAAAGCTAATTCTTTTTTTTTATGTATACGAGGGTAAAAATTAAAACTCTTTAAAATCTAATCTCCAATCAGTCCAATCTATGGATATTATAAATACTGTTTGTTTTGCGAAGTTCTAAAATATTTATACATTAATGTCATTAAATAGTTTTACACTTAGTTTGATAAATCTATCAAATGATATAATACACTATTAATTTACAAATGTAATAAATAAAAATATGGGAAAAAAGGTAACTACTCTGTTATAAAGTAGGTGTTCAGTGTTCACTGTAGAAAGTACTTTGTTAATGAATAAGTTACTGTAATGGATGTTTTAAATATTAATTCAATGATAAATAATTGTGAACAAAAAATGATTCTGAGTGGAGGCGGTTTATTTTTGTCAGCATATATTACTAAGATGAAGCGTTTTAAATTTTTTAAATATACTTTTACTATGATGAATATAACGTATTAAATTTAAGCATATAAATTGATTATTTTTCTCCTTATACTACTTAATTATTTTTTATAGCTATTGGCTATTTTATACCTACTCATGGATATATACTTAATATTTAATAATATATATTATTATAGTGTGTTTATGGCTATATATATATCAATATCTATACACATAGTGATACAATGAGTGTTTTTCAAAATTCCAGTATCATTTCAATATCTCCGTGGCAAAACAATATATTTAAATAAATTAAATATGGTTTTTTACAATAATTAATAAGAATTCAACATTTTCAAAAAAGTTATTCAATACAATAAAATTTTTAAACATTCACGGGCATATTTTTTAAAATTATTTTAAAAAATATCAAAATTGATTTCATAAGATTAATATATGCATATAATATGTTAGCTAAATTATTAATTAAATTGTAAATGCTATTATTTCTTTATACTTGCACTTGCATCAAACTGTTGAAATTTGTTTTGTATGTCTATTCCAGCCTCCATAGACCAATGACGTGCCAATGGATAATTCTGAAGCTATAACTTCATTTTCAAGAACAATGAATATTAATAAACTATAATGATGTGATCAACATTTTTTTTTGCGTTGTTTGATCTATATTTTGCTCATTGACATTACATAATATATAATAGTTAAAATTAAGGTAGGTATTGATAAAATTAGGAAATAAATTAAAAAACTAATATTATTCAGCTAAATCACACCACACTCACACATACATTGGCTATAATTTGGTTGTTTTCATTCGATTTTAATACATTTTATTTCAGGTTTAATAAATAAATTTCATAATTTAATTTTTTGTGTAGTTACCTACATCAATAAAGACATAATAATGACTAATAAGAGTAAAAATTAAATATTTTACACGTAGAAATGCATACAAAAAAAAAAAAAACTATTTAAATTATGTTATTAAAACCGTTTATATTTACACTACATGTTGATAACGCATTTATTATTATATGAATAAGTTTTTGAAAATATAATACGACTGGAAATTTTTCATGTTTTATAAATAGTTAAACAAAACCAAGGTTATCTAAAATTATGACATAAAATTAAAATATATCAACAAAATATCTCTTGATTATAATATTAACTTAATAATATACTTATTACGTAGGTATTTAACCGAATGAAAAACATGATCCTGTGGATTAACCCGATTATTTGGGCGACTAAAACGTTTTTGAGAAAAACCGAATATACAATTACAAAACTTGGGGCCTCTATGGGCTCTACGCATCAGCCATTGATGCATTATATTTGTCTATTTATTGTATTATAATAATATCATTGATCGTTCTCGTATTTTGTACTTCATTAACTAGCAACAAACGGAGTAATTAAATATTAATAATTGTTTTTAATAGGCGGAGGCCCCTCGGCCAACAGCTGTGGGCCGGTGGCGGGCGGTGCACTGCAGCCAACACGTATACAATTATTACAATTATTACATGATAACAATATTATGACATGGGTAGGCGAATTCATCGGGAAAGGGTGAGAGATCAAGGGGAACCGCGAAAAATTGCGGCACGGACCACCGCGAGCGAAACGATCGATCGGTGTCCCACACGGCTGTGCACCAACGGGCGAGGGCGAAGGTCACGTACAAGCGGAAGCACTGCACGTGCACACACGACCGCCGCCGCGTCTGTTCAATGTTCGTGTTACGCAATATACGCAACATGGACGACGGTGTGTCGGTGTGGTTTAGAACACGCGAGACCGAACGGTGAACGCGGTCACACGGATCGCATGCCAGCCGCCGACCGCGGCGACACCAGCGGCCCTTGGAAACCGCCCGTTATCGCCGTGTCGCCGCCGCCGTTATCAGTTTCTCACACGCAATCGTTTTTATCAACTGGCATTATCAGTTCCGATCGAATACATTAAATGGGTAGTGAAAAAACTTTGTGTATTATTATTTTAATGTATACACCATACATGATACATACATTACATCGTATGACCGTATGGGTACCCACCTACGTTCAACATTAACATTATTTACTAGCGTTGTCCAACAGTCGGTGGTAACTGGTAGTCATCGCGATTAATAGTAATATATATTATAATAATAATGTATAATATCGCAAACGCTCAAGATTAGAATATGTTATTGTTTTGAATTGCGTATTTGCGTGTTATCCGATCTCAAACACATAGCAGGCTGCGCTCATCGCGGTTTTAATATTTAATATTGTTAATATTATTTTATTTTTACTTAACCAGGCGTTATTGTTTAATTGTTCTATTATTTTATCCACCGTTATTCGCGTATTGATTCTAACATGACGGTTTTATCGAAAAAAAAATCTCAGGCCCTGTTAGAAGAATGTGAACCGTCATCGAGCTCACACGGTCATGCTTTACCTCATCCAACAACTCAAGCTCATTCTCAGGTAAACGATTATCTGCTGTGTTATTTTATTTAGATTTTTGCCAGCTATCTATGTACTGAAATAAATTGCTTTGTTTAGTTTAGCCGACTAAATAAATACTAGTCATTAAAGGTAGTTAGTTTTAAAAATACATATAGTGTACAAAAAAATTTGAAAAAACAAATGGTATCATTAGACAAATATTGCCTTGTACTTAAATATTAATCTATGTTGGGAAATGCACTTTCAGTTTTTTTATTTCATATTTTGTAAAAATATATTTATAACCTGAAGGTTGTGGTTGAATCTGATTGGTAAATTTATTCATGTTCTTGTAACATACCTATTATAATTGAAAGTACACTTGAATTAAAAATTTAAAATTTAATATCGAAATTGTTTTATTAATATTTTTTTTTTTTTATAAACTATCAGAAATTATATCTAAAATATTGTCAATAATTTTTAAATTTTTAAATTAATAAAATTTGTAAAAAATAATCAAAAAAATTAAAATTAAACTTCGTTGTTTACAATTAAGTTGCTTATTCATTTCATATTGTGTAAAAAATATAATTAAAACCTGATGGCTATAGTTATATTTGGTTGGCATATTTATTCATAATCTTATAATAAATTACAATTAGGTATACTTGAATTTTAAATGTAAAAGTTAATAACAAAATTATGTTTTTTCTAAATATTTTTATACTATTAGAAAACTTTATTTTGGTCAGTTATTATTCTGAAACTAGTGAAACTACTCTCTTAAAATTATTGAAAATGTTAATGTATTTAATAATGAATGTTCCAAATCATATGTGTTGAATCCAATCACAATCTGTATTGAAATAGAATAATAATTCACACAATATGCAACAAAATAAATGGTGTTTACAGTAATATTTATCATGTTATGACTACTGTGGTTTGCAATTGAAGATGATTGAAATAACTATTACTGTCTACATAATATTACTTATGTTGCAATTTGTAAAATAGTCTATTGAAAATATTATTACTGTATTGTCAAATTAAATATTATCGGACACATATTATATTTTTGTTTGAGTAATATTAGTGTAAAATGTCAGTGTTCATGGCGTATTTAAAAAAATCAAATAATTGACGCTCAAAAATATCTATATTTTTATTTATTTACTTTGCTCTGCTTGTTACCTTTTAAGTATAATAGTTTCTTAGTTTATATTGTTAATTAATTACTTATAGAAATAATTGATACCTAGTTAATTATTTAAAAGTTCTATTACTTAATATAATGTGAAATAAAATGTGTCTATTTTATTAATTTACAAATTTAAAATATAAAAAATGGTACAAATACATTTATTTTAAGCCGCAATAAAATTATGAAATTTTCAAGGTTATAATATTGGCTTACAATAATAATTTAAGATTAATAGGTAGGTGTATTGTATTAATCATTATTATTAGTAGGAAAGGGATTTAAATTGTAATAACAAAAAAATAAGAGAAATAAAAATAAAAATAAAGTTAATGGCTATGGGAGGAGTGGCCGGACTGACACAAGGGACACAAACTTTGTATGTAAGTCTGGTATTAAAGATTATTAAAAATACTTGTTCTCGCGTTATTACTTTGCTCCTGTTCTTCGGAAGGTTTTCGAGATCGTGATTCGAGAATATGATCAAATACACCGTTATGTAAATTAGATGGTAAAAGAATCTGTACTAACAATAAGTATTTTAGGCATGCACCTTACCTGGTTCGCCGCAGTGAATACCTGTAGTACGTTCCTCGGAGAAAGATGCAAGGTGACACAAGTTACGATACGGCTTAAGAAAAACTTACGTTTAAATAAGAAAACAATTCTGATTTAACTTAAAAAAAAAGGAAATTAAGCTGTCGCTCGCAGAATCTTGTGGTGGGTTTTGAGTAGAGCTCCTGCTCGCTTGTCTGGTGCGCCTGCTCTTGTAATTTTGTCGGTGCTCATGCACTCGATAGTTTGGTTGGTGCTCATGTACTGGCGAGAGAAGACGACATGGTCAAGATAACCAGGGTCGCAGGCGGCTCCAACAAAGGCCTCCGCGTCTTTAGAGAAATCGGCTTTCTCCCCGACGATGGAGAGGCTCATTGGACCATCCCTTGTCTCTGGCGGCATACGAAAATAGATCACACGGTTTGCGCCATATTGTCACAATAATGTGACCAAACAATGTAAATCGTTTCTCTCATCAGTGATCAATAGGGATTATTGGTTTTTATTGAGGACTATCTGCGTGTTACAACTTAACCGTTATTTATTTAATGAAATAATAAAATGTACAATAAATTATGATGTGTGAGCATATCATTACAAAATGCTCTAAAAAACAAGAAAAATGTTTTAAAAAATACTTTTTAATGCACTCATAATAAATATATTGTTTTAAATTGTTCTTAAAATTATTTTAAACTCATTTTTAATAATTTTATTTGAAAAAATTTGTTTTATTATATAAATTATTATTCTTAAGTACAGTAGAATCTCGGTAATCCGACACATATCAGACTACGCTACTGCCGGATTAACGAAAACGCCGGATTAGTGGGGAGTTCATAAAAAAATGTATTTTTACTTATTGAATTTTACATTTTTACTTGTATTAAAAAATGATTTAAAAATCTTTTAGGTTGAGAGCAGTTTTCTTTTTGTTTATTAGGATTAGATCTGTTATTACTTAATTTTATCTAACGGTTTATCGTTTACGATAGTAAATTTATATATAAATACATATTGGTACATATAGGTTAATACAGCCGGATTACTGGACGTATCGGATTATCGAACGACCGGATTACCGAGATTCTCCTGTATTAATTATTCGCATCATGTTCATCATCTTCTAGTTTTCCTATCTTCCTTTTAGCTTGAAAATTATTTCCAAAAAATGAATATACAATATAAATAAATACATTTGTTATAATCTTACCTTGTGTTTCATAACAGCACTGTATAATCAGATGCTGTTTAATATTCTTATACATAAACCTGACAGTTATTAACCAATGTTGTTTTTTATATTGAGAAACTATGCTCCATGTCAACTGACGTCATAAATCTAAAATTTATACAAGCCATGTAATCAGTAGTTAGTTCTTTAGATTTGTATTATCTTTAGATGTTGTTTTTCCTCTCAAAATATTTGAAATATGATTTATTGTTTTAAATCTCAAGTTTTTTCAATTTTCGCTTTTAATTTTTTTTTAATGGATTTTCTGATACTACTGTTGTTTGTTCCCAGAGTTGGACTAGGCCACCGGACACCGGGATTTTCCCGGTAGGCCACTATGAAAATGAGCCTATGGGGCTGCAGTAGGCTATTTGGGGCCTATAATAAGCAGGCGGGAGCCTTTGTATATGTTAAATGGTAATAAGACTAATAATATAATATTATTAGTAATATTTAACTGTTATGATAATTGTGCCTACCTATAGCCAAAATTATATGGTATGTAACGTTTAAATATAAAAGACTGAGGACGAGGATATTATTTAATACTACTACTATTTATATTATATTTATTTTAATTAACTTTATTTTAATAGTGCCGTACCAACAAAAACCTCTACCCCCCCCACCCCATATACACCACTGAGGGAGCAAACAATTATTCAGCTCTAACTTTTTCATAGCACAGGCTGTGAGCTGAGAGCAGGGGTCTGTTTAAAAATTATTTCCCTGGTCGTTTGTCTGAGCTAGTCCAACTCTGTTTGTTCCGATTTCATTTTGTACTTGAGCAATAATATTAATTGCGTCAACCAATTATCCAGATGTTTCCTATGTACTAATGTATTTTGGTAAATGCTCATAATTTGCTTTGTTAAATGTCAAGTTGAGTTGCATATTATTCATTTTATTTTATTCTTTTAGAATGAAATTCAATAAAAACTTAATCGAATTTTATCCATTCTTGTATAAAAATTACTTAAAAACATAAAAATGCACAACATTTAAAAAAAAATGCTAAATAAAAGTTACATTTTATAATTCTTTGATGTATAAAATAAACTTTTTTCTTGGAAAACAATGCTTTCGGACATTCAGAAAAAAAAATGCAATTTGCATTCAAATCCATTCCCTAGTTATTAGTCTTGTTTAACTTTAACTTACTACTTGTATGTAATATAAATACAACTATTTATAAATTGTAAACTAATGTAAACTGTTATTATTATTTCAGATAAATGCATTAGATGAACGAATTAAGTCTCCTCAAAGATGGTCTGTAGAAAATATTGAAAATGTTTTAGGTTCAAAACGTAGGATTCACCATAGTCCCCTTAGGTATTTTTATTTTAGTTTTTAAATTTTTCAATTAACCAATAAAAATGTTATCTTGTGTTATTGATTTGTATATGTTGTTTATTCACAGTTCTTTTTTTTGTCTGTGTTTTTTTTATCTGATTATAATATGTACCCATAATTTATTCTAAGAGTTTTAAAAGTTATTTCATATGTTTTATCTAATGAGTTTTTAATAATTTTAAGAAGTACAAGAAATAGTAAAGGACGTGATAGAGACAATAGACCATCTCAAAGTTCTGGTACTTGTCAATGTGGAGTTACTGACTTGAATGGTCACTGCAGTTCAGATAATTGTGGTTATAATAGTGAGGATGAATACGGTGAAATTCCAAAGCAATTCAATGATTTGGAATGGGCTGAGGTAACTATAGATTTATTCTTATGTTGTATAATATGAAACTTATTTGCAAGTACCTATTTATTATTTACTGTATGATATTTGTATTTATAATGTATTTATATAATATATGGATTATGAATACTTAAATACATTTTATTTATAAATTTATTTACAGTTATTTATTATCTTTAAAATACTTGAGAATTACATTTAGTAAAGTCGCACTAAATAAAAAAAATGTCTGTAGGTTTCTGTGTGAATTTGCTTATAAAGTATTTAATCAATCATTTAGTGGTAGTTTAATTTATGACTAAACATAATTCATAATTGTTTTTAAATAAATATTTTATGTTAAAAGGACATAAAATTTCATTGTTATTAGATTTTTTCTTTACCTAAATTTTTAAACAAGTTGTGAGTAAAAATAATGTTCTTACCATCAAGTTTGATTAAAGGTAAATTCACTCTAATATTAAAGCTGAAAAAAAAAACAGGTTCTACTGAATGCAAATTTACTATGTTGTATTTGGAGATCACTTATGTGTTCTCTTAAGTTTTGAGGTATAAGCATACATTAATAACATACATTTTACAAATTTCAGCAAGATCGCATCTTTGAAAAAAAGTTGAAAAAATGTGATCTGGTTTTGAAACAAATGAAAGATGATGGTGCGTGTCTGTTTAGAGCTGTATCAGATCAAGTATTTGGTGACCAAGATATGCATGACATAGTTCGTAAACAGTGCATGGATTATGTTGTAAGTAATTTAATATAGTAGAAGAAAACTAGTACTTTTTCATCAAACTATATTTCTTTAACTTAGTCAATATCTTTTAAAAAAAAATCTTAAATCTTAATTTTAATGTATAGATTTCTTCTTCCTATTTAACATTTTTTAATGCTGTTCGATTTTTTTATTATAAATATTTTAACTGATTAGAAAATTAAATTAGTCAATCAGTAATCATATTAGTAAAATCTTACTTCTTCTATTAAGTTTAATGATATTTTTGGAAACAAATTCTACATGTATTAAATTGTATACGAAAATATTTTTATTAATGTTTAATATTTTTTAGTCAAGTAATAAAGATTATTATATGCAGTATGTTACTGAAGATTTCAATACATATATTGCTCGCAAAAGACTAGATCGAACTCATGGAAACCATGTAGAGATACATGCTATGTCTGAGTTATATAACCGTCCAATTGAGGTTTATTGTTATGAAATTGGTAAATTAACTTATTTAATTTTGAAGTTCTGAAGAAATTATACCTTAAATATTTGTATATATATATATTTTTTTTTGTTTAAGAACCAATTAACATATTCAATAGAGCTAATACATCAGAGTCCTCTAATCCACCAATTAGATTATCTTATCAAAGAGGAAGTCATTATAATAGTATTGTAGACCCACATAAAGCAACAATTGGTATAGGTTTAGGATTACCAAGTTTTTCACCAGGTTCAGCTGATAAAAAATTATTAACTGATGCTGTTCGTCAAAGTGAAGATTATTTGTTAGAACAGGTATGTTATGCATCACAGATCAAAGTATATTAAATAAATTATATTAATACAGTACTTGAGTATATCTAATTGTTATTTAAATTCTATCTTTAAAGAATTCTTATGGTTATCATTATTGTATTGTTACTATTATGTTGGATTGCATAAAAAATTGATTAATGTAGTGGACTAATCACTAGCAACTAAATCATATTTAAAGGATCATAAACCATTATCGATTTATTAAATATTTAGTAATTGCTCATGTAATCGTGCATTAGTTTCTTGAATATAAACATTTGTAATGATAATTCAATGCTTTTAAATAATGTTTATTAATTACTCAAATTTTTTAAAAATATTTATAAACATTTACTCAATTTTAATATAAAAACCTTTTTTTTCTTCATTATTGTATGGTTGGTATATCCATGTTTAATAAAAAAAAATATTTTGATATGTTTAGACTATGTTAGAAGATAAACTTAGAGCTACAGATTGGGAAGCCACAAATGATACAATTGAAGAACAAATAGCGCGTGAAAGTTATTTACAATTTTTAAAAGACAATGAAAAAAGAAATAAAGTAAATTTTAAAATGTAATTATGAATTATGATTAAAATTATTAAGATTATAATTAATTACAGAAAGATAACGAGTCATCAGCTACGTCAACTGCAACTTCTGCATCTATTGTCAAACCATTTCAATCTCGAACTTCCCCACCAAGATACTCAGTTGGACCTAAAACCCCACCTAATTTATCTCCCTGTAGAGATCGTTCAGAAATAGAAAATCCTACATTTGTTACATTACCTCCACATCTTTTCGGTAAATATTTTTTATTTATATAAATTATTTCTTTAATTAATACTTTAATTTAATCACTAAGGTATGTCTAAGTGGGAAGATATTGATATCTTAACAAAAGTTTTGGCCACTTCACAACAAGAGTACCTTGACAATTTAAAAAGACAACGCGATGAACTTAAAGAAGAAGGAGATAAGAAATACTTGTATGATACAGACAAACCGTCTACTTCTCAATGAAATTTTAAACAATGATAATTTCATAAGATATACATTATGCATTATTGTTAAGATCAACAATTTTTTTTTTTTTAAATTATTATTTTAATTCACCATGAGCCACTATTATCCAATTCGGGTAGCCTCAAAAAGTTAATTTACTGTTTATATAATTTTCATTCAAACTAATTTGATACTAATAAATATAAATAATTTTTTATCAATTAAAATTTAAAATACTTGAATGATAAGTTTTTTTTTAAATTTTTGATTAAATTAATTTTTAACTTCAATACAAATTTGAAAAAGAAAAATAAGTTGTTTTAAATAGATTTAGTGGTTTTTAGATTATGGAGTACTAACAAATACAATATTTTTATATAATATTTCATAGATGATGATTAGGGTTTAGAAGTTAATGCATTTGCTTTCTTCTTTTTTCTTTTTCTTTCTTTTTTTTTTTTTTTTTTTTTTGGTTGGAGGAGGGGTAGTCAATTTTACTATTTTTTTAGAGCATATTTGATGATTAACAATATATTTATTATGCAATTTAAAAAATTGACAAAAAAATAACTTATACACTTTATAATAAGTATTTATTTTAAAAAATGGTGTCCCTAAACATTTTTCTAGGGGAAGTGGTGAAAAATTAACTTAAAAATAAATGATGATTTTTATCATTTTATTTATAGAATATGATTATGTTTTGTCATTATTACATTAAATTATTACAACTAAGTAACAAATTTAAAATTCTAGGGGAGCAAGTGCCCCATCTTGCCATCTCTTGGGAATGACCATGTTTTTAGGATTTTCATTAGATTTATTGTATCGTATTTATTAAATCCTTAGTTGGTATACTATTTTTAGTTGTTATTAATAGATATTTAGTACAAATTATAAAATATAAAAATATTTTTTAATTAAGAGTTCATGATAATTGTGAGTAAAAAAAAATAATAAGTGTATATTTTTAAAAACATATTTAGTACTTTTTGAAGTGCATTAAGTTCTGATCCCTAATAATCATAACAATATATTATATGTTTTAATTAAATGCGTAAATTAATATAAAGTAAAGTAAGGCAGTGAAGCTACTCATGGTGGATTAAAGTATTTAGTCTTAGTTTATTTAATTTTTATCTTAAGTAAAGTTATACATTTTTTAATATTCTGTATTATTAAAAAAATTGCTATGTTTGTTAACAAATCGCACAACTATGATAAAATGATGGGGGGGGGGGGGATTATACCTACTTAGATTTTAACAAAGCTAGGAAAATATTGATTTTACATTAAAAATTCCAAGTCTATCAATTTAAAATAGAATATTTTAGGGCTTGAAATCGGAAGTAAAAATATTTTATGTTTTCTTCAGTGGTGTAACTTAGAGAGATTAGAAGATCTAAACCAAGGGTGTCCAACCTTTGGTGAAGTCTGGGCCAAATTATATGGGTAGAAGTTGTTGTGGGTCGCATAGTTTTTAATAATAATAGTTTATACATACAGTGTTTTATTTTTATTTGTTGATAAATGCCACGAGATCTGTGCCGTGAACATAACTCCAATAATAAAATATTTTATCAAAATCGGCTCGAGTTGATCCACTAATCACTCGTATAATTAATGTGTGCCCGTGCTATTATGCTAAGATAAAAGTATTAAACACTATTAAAGTTTATTTGATGTTTAATATTATGTAGTTTTATATTCTTATGATAAATTTGTTCTCGTAATATTAATATATTAAATACAATTAATTAATAGTTTTTAAATTGAAGTGAGAGCCGTATCAATATCTACCATGGGCCGCATGCGGGCCGCGGGTTGGACACCCCTGGTCTAAACACTAGAAGGCTGAGTTAATTTTTTTCAATTTCAATGTTGTGTTTAATTTTTTAAAAGATCCTTAACAATTTTATATTTTATCAATATTTAACATCAATTTTAAGTCCTGTTTCAGAAATTATATTTAAAATTATTTTAATTTTGGCGGCTAGATTGTACACTGCAGGTAGATAGTAAACTTAAATGGGGTAATGGACAAGCATTGCTAGACTAAAGCCAACATAACTGATTTCTATGCAACTCAATGCTGGGTACTAATTAATTAGAAAATTATTTTAACTTGACTAGATAGTTTTAATTTATAATAACTATAACTTAACTAGTTGAATAAAGTAATCTAATTTGAACTCGTTAAAAACCAAAAATAAATAGTTTTTTTTTTTGTATTGCATAAAACTCAATGTTCTATAAAATGTAAAACTAATGGACTGGATAATAATAAATAATTAATACTTAGATTTTTTGATGATAGATTGGTATATTTTTGATATATTTTAATTTTTGATAATCTCTTATGTTTTTTGTAATGTGTGGCTTAAATTATAGCTATATTGCTATTATTATATAATATATAAACATAGTTAGTACCTGATTATTCATTTAATGAAATACTTAACATCTAAATCAACAGATTCATAAATTTATATTTTTAACATAAAAAAACCCTTCTAATTTCTATTCTAACTTAAGTTATTATTTTCATCAACTAACCAGGCGCCGATTCAGAGTAATTATTAAGGAATGGGAAATTTTATATTATTCAATAATTTTATAATATTATAACTGTAGAGGTTGAATTTATATTCTCTTAAAATCCTTAAAATATGATGTTTTTATGTCGTTTAAAACAGGCAATATATTCTCTGAATATTCTTTTAAAATACCAGATATATGATATTTTATGTCCTTAAAAATGAAAAATATTCTTTAAATATTAAAAAAATAAAAATATATTCAGTTTAAATTTATTGTTTATTAACTTGTGTTATTAATTTGGCTTTAAATTTAATTCATTTTTCAATAACAAATAATATCTATAATATATTGTTCCATGTGTTCTGATGTCATTTTAGTATGTTGATTTGTAAGAATGTTTTTCTATAGGCTGAGAACTGTTCAATATCAACCGATGTCACTGGAGAAATATCTTGTGATTAATTTTTATTAGAACCTAGAATTCATATAGTTAATATTGTGTAATTATCAAAATGCCGATATACGTGAAATATGTTAATTATGTTGATATTACAAAAATAAAATCTTCAAAAATTAAACATTCTCAAATATTCTCTTAACATGGTGAATATTCTCTAACCCCTAAATTATGTTTTTTTTTTAAACAAAACAAATTTTTCTTATAAATTATGTATTTCATGAATCATAATGATATCTTATTCTCATTTATCTACATATACTAGAAACAAATATGTAAAATCATAAAAATCTGACTTCTAATTATTATAAGTGTTACCATAAATATTTCTTTAAATTTTAAGCTAAAAATTTAAAAAAATTGGGTAGTCATGTTGAAAAGCACAGTATTTAAGAATAATTAGTAATTTATAGATACACTCAGTATCTGTTATGTCGTCAGTTGACGCGATTAGAAATTGCCGAATTATAAATATAACTATCCGAAAAATAATGTATTTATTATTATTTAATATGCATAGAACTACAAATAATAGACTTAACTATAATAAATTTATAATTTTCATCATTGACATATTAATATAATAATTTAATTTTTTTTTTCATGACATTTGGGGGTTTTGTATCTGCGTCTACAACTAACTATTATTCGTGTTAGAAATTTAGGAATTTCTCAAACTATCTTATTTTCTAGCTTTATTAGTTTTTTTAACTTCATTTACACAACTTATCTTTAACTAGGTTGAAAAAATTTTTTAACTTTCCCAGCTTTTGTGCAAATACATTTTTGTTTTGTGTGGAGTATAATTAATGTTTTATAAGGGTGTGTTTTGATTTTCTCTGTTATTATTTTTTTTTTTAATAAGCACTACCTCATTAGCTCTATCTTAGTTTTACATATGTATTTAGTTATATCCAGGGGTCATAAGTTTATGTACTAAAATACATTTAAATATGTATGTAACTATGCTTCTAAAAATTTTCAAATATGCTGTAAAATTGTTCATTATACTTAAAAAAATCAGATTCATAGATACTTTCCCATAAAATATGTTTTTCTATCCAATACATTAAATTAGTTTTGAGATTTTTACAACAACATATTTGTTATATATTTTTTTATTATTAATACTGAAATCTATTATTGGTACAAAACCAAGTGATGCACTGATAAACTTATTGTCAATACGTTTATTGTTATAATGTGTTATTTTATATAATACAAGGAAATTTGATATAATATGTCTATAAATTATTTAAAAGGTTCCAAAGAAAAGCTGTGAAGGGCACATACCAAAAATAATGTGTTTTTATATCATATTTATTCTTAAATGATTTATGCATTAAATTTTTTTATATATTTTTTAAATTAATTTTATTATTTCAAGTCAATCTCAATGTAGTGTATTGGATGGGGAAACATATAGAATGGAAAATACCTTATAGGGAAATGTCCCAATACCTTATAAATATGCCTCAAGCTATATGTAATTGTACTTTTGTAGTATTTTTAAAATATTGAAACAAATTTTGTTTTTGATATAAGCTTTGAAAGCGATTACAATATATGTCGGCAACACAATATAGTGTGTGACATAACGTAATTTAAGTTATAACGTTTATTGTGTGTCACTGCGTCTGTATACCGTTAACTGTTAAGTCTACGTGTTTTTTTTTTTTTTTTAATATTTGCTGTGAATTTTTAAAATTGTTTGAATTTATTGATGATATATCACTCTGTATAGTATTTATCATTTGTGACTCTTTGTATACACATTGTAATACACCGCTGACTTGTCACATAGTGGCAGAAACAATGCTATGGAACGGTTGCTGCCGTCAGTCGACATGCGTGAAACGGTTTACTTCTCTCGTGGCCAGAGAATAGATACTTTTATTAAAAATTTAAACCATTTTTAACAATAACTTAAGCAAATTTTAAATGTCTGATTATATCAAAATATGCCTTTTATCAAAAACTTATAAATATGCAATGATATACAAAATAACATTTTATATACTGAATCTTATTATTTTGAAATTGATTTTTATAATTACCTAACATTTAATTTGACTTTAAATATTTACCATGATGTACCTAAACTCTTAAAATGCCCTGTTGTAATTAAATATTTAGTAGTGTTAATATTTTACATAATACTTTGTATTCTCAATATGATTGTTCTACAGAGGGTTTATTGAAATTATTTATTTTAATTGCAATTTGTAAATAGCTTTTTTTTTAAATCTATTTTCTTAACAAGAGATTTAAATAACAAAAAATTGTGCTATGATTATGTATTATAACTCTAGTTTGCAGTGAATATAAAATTTTAGTATTTATTGTAGTAGTAGTATTACTCATATTGTGTTAATATACTTGATAATGATTTAATAATCATGTTACTAATAAGAAAATATAGTCTTATATGCCTAGTTGCATAAATAATCACTTATCATTCAATAAATCAATAAACTAATGATCCCTAAAACATGAAAACATGATTAAAACACCCAAAATTTGGGCTGTAGTCCATAAGCGCAAAAAAATACCTCTTTAACAAACCATTAAATTTAGTGAATCCTTAAATCAATCAATTTTTTGTTTAACTCTGTGTAAGTTATTTAAACAAGGATGTAGTGGCATGTACACGGGGGTAGAAAGTCTTAAACATTCAACTCCTCCAGGTCCAAGAATTATGTACATAGGACCAGTAGCGGAACCAGGGGGGGCCTAAGGGCTTCATCCTTCCCCAGACCTCTTAAACAGTCTTTTTAATTGCTGCAATTATTTTAAACTGTGCAATAATACGTTATAATTAATTAAATAAGTGTAGATTAGATTTTGTATTATAAAAGTTATTTTAGAATAAAATAATTTAAATTTATAATAGTATAATTACTATAGGTACCTTATCTATAGGTAATTAATATTAACGATCTAACCACAATAAAATTAATAACGTCATCTTAAACATTTCTTTCATATTTTTAGGAACACGTGAACTAGAACATGGCTCAAAAGTAATTTTTTTTAGGAAGCCCCTTCCCTAAAATTTAATCCTGTATTCACCTCTATCTAGGACTGATTAAATGGATTGATCATGTTCTCAAGTATATCATGATTCATGGTATGTTTATATCTTCTGAAAGGGTCAATGACGAGTTAGCAAGAAAACATTAAATAAAGTAAAATATTGTTCTGCATAAAAAAAAAAAATCTCGCTATGCATACCTACTTCGGAAATAAATATTATTGAATGTAATCCCCTCCCTCCATTAAAAATATTGATGTACATCACTACGAGAATACAAAACTATGTATGATATATTTAAAATGTTGAGGTATAAATGACTCTAGAATATAATTATTATGGTATTTGAAGTACTTAAATGTCAGATTACAGTGTAGTCTTTTTTTCATGAAATATGTATATGAAACATTGTCAGATTCTTATAATATTAACTAAAGATAATATAATATTGTGATAATAATAATAATTTGGATTTTAATATAAGTTCGTATAATTGTAATAAATATGCTCGGTTGCATAAAAGTTGACGAATTTAATAGACCAATCATGTGTCACTAAATCATGTTTAAGCGACCATTGGCTCAATATTGATTTAATTACCTAGTGATTATTTATGTGACCCGACAATAGTGTAATAATTATTGATACATTTTTCTTGAGATATGTGTATTTTTGATAAAAGTAATTTTTGTTTGTTTTATGTTGCAATTATTGATATATTTGTCATATATTTATAGTTAATGTATAGTTCCAAACATCACAATATTAATATTTATCATTTATAAAAATATATACAATAGTTTTATAACAAGTTAAATTTCATATATTTGCCCGTGTATGATGTGAAATGTATTTATGATATAAGAGACCAGTATAAGATTTCTACAAGGACCCTTATTATAATCTGTCTGGAATTATAACACAATCAGATGATTACTATTTACTAAATGTATGGGATTGTATCAAGAGAGAGCAACCTTGTCAAAAATTATGATTTATTTTTCTCTATAAATAAATTTCAGATGTTCAAATATTTTACATTGTCATTAAGAACTGTACACCAATTGTAAATTGCATTAAGTCTTTGACAGTATTTTATAAAATCTTACATATTCCATTAGATATGTACAAAATATATAAATAAGTAACAAAATAAAGTAAACATTTTAAAATAGAGTGATTATTATTTTTTTATTCATGAACAATAATTAAGATAAATGGTTCGCAACATTAATTAATACGTTGTTAAATACATTTTTTTTTCATCAATTTTTAACTATTTATAGAGATTTTGAATTTAATTCAATGCATATTTTGAAGTATACCTAGACACAAAGCACACTATTCCAGTGTCTGCTATCTAAAGAATAACAATTCACTTCGTTGTTTTTTAAGAATTTTAACAAATTTATTAGATTCTGAGCGGATAAATGTATTGATATTACAATATATTATTTTTTCTTGTGTGTCTGTGTTATTCCATTCGGAGTAGTAAAATATCTTCAATTTTTAATATATTTTTTGTTAGAAAGTAAATCTAGTTGGTTCTTATGGGAGTTAAAGGTAAAAAAATCATAGCAGTTTTTTAGCAAAAAAATTTAGGAAAACGTAAATTTTTCCGCAAGACTAGTTTTCAATAAAATCAATATTATTTTTTTCTTGTAATTCAAAAACGAACCGCGCTTAAATATGTTATTTGCTTATCAAATGTTTATATTAGCATATTCTATAGGTACATAATATAATTTTCAAAATCATATGGTTCTTTTTATGCTATTAGATATAGGCATTTCAAATTTTGAATTTTTTTTCTTCAAATGTCGATAAAAAAAAAAAATTGTTTGGTTAAAAAACTTGAAAATTTAGTACAAGATTCTTTTTAAACTATTGTTACCGGAATTAATAATAAAAATTGAATATAAATCCACAATTTTTTCTAAAAGCGTTTAAAGTTCAAATTTGATAATATTACAAATATTTGTAAATTATTTTGTACCTAGTCAAAAACGCTAAAATATTCAATATTAATAGCTAATGTTTGAAAATTAAATTCAAGGTTTCTTTTCAGTAGTTCTTACCAAAACTCCAAGTTATAATAAATATATAAGTGTTGCAATTCCTTTGTAGATATTTAAATTTTAAATTCAGATGAAATCAAATAACTAAATTAAACTATTTTAGTTGGTAAGTATAGGTATTCATAAATATTATTCATAGGTCTTTTTTTGACACTTTTTACATATACTAATGTATTTTATACATTCAATAACATTTTTTAATACAATATTATTACTTATTTTTAAAAATTAGGTACTATAATTGTAAAATAAACTATTATTAAAGCAATATTAATTTATCATTTCATAACTAATGTTTCTACTTAGTTTTACCTAGGTATAGGCTGACAGGCTGTCTTCACTTAGAATGCGGTGTTTCGTGTGCAATAATTAATCATTGAATCAAAATTCAATAGGTACATATATATAACTTTGTAGTGGTCTACAATGACCTATTCAATGACGAAGTATTCGACTCGTACCTACTGTAAAGAAGACGGTTATTTCCTTTCGTTCTTTAATATAAAAAAATTATTAATTAAAATTTATTAAAATTATTTTTAAATAAATAACCTAAAGAAAAAGATTGCCAACTTCTTACCTATTTTTAGACTGCAAAATATTCAATCTTTGAATTCAAAAAGATGGCCAACTACTAACATAGATAGAGGTGCTGAGCGTCGGATTAGTGTTCATATTGCAATTTTAAAATTTCTAAGCATTTCTAACCTAATGCTAAGTAGTTATTACTTATAAATTATAATTATAAGTATAGTTACTATAACCATGTTCATATACCTACCTATACCATTTATTTGCTAAAGCGTGATAGGTAGCTAGCATGAGTGTATGACTATTGGCTATAGGTAGGATGTATAGTTACCTTTATTTATGTTCAAAGGTGTTTGCTTAAGAAATAGAAAAAAAAAAAATTACAAACAATATTTTAAAATGTTGATAATAATATTATTAAAATACAGTAGATATTAAAAAAAAACTATTTTAGTATTTATAACCATACATTGTTGCTTAATATATAGGTACATATAGTGAGTAAATAAATAGAAATTTTAAGTACATTACTAAATTAAATAAATAAATAAATAGAGGATTGAATTGAATTTTGAATTTTTAGATTGGAATTACAATATTAGGCATACTAGCATTTACGAATATTTGAAGTTTTATTTAATTATATTATGCACGTATTAAAATTTTGTTAAACAAATTTTACGAGGTTTAAAATTACATTTTATATACATAATATAATGAATATTTTAATTTTTAAGTCATTAAATTCAATAATTTATGTTTAATGTAAATTAAGCTTTATCGATTTTTGAACTAAAGGCGTCTCGCCAATAATCAGCCGATTTCTGTGGCATAATCCTGAAAAAGAAACCCATTAATATTAACATAGGTACTATATTATAATCAAATAATAATAAATACATTTTTAATATTTATACTTAAGTATATTTTGTTTCTAATTGCCTAAATGCTTACCATAGTATATGCATGATCAGTCTCAATATTTCTGGAACGGTTACAATAACGTCTTCTCTCTTAATGCCTTGAATTGCTGCTTGGGCAACTTGTGGAATCGAAACAATTGGTAATGCTGACCTTTTTGAACAATTAAAGTTAGCTTTTATTAGTGTTATTGAATTATTATCACTTATTGGTAATATTAGTCTACGACTCTAACGATAGCTCAAATAAAATATTGGTATTATTACAAGAATTTAAAAAAGCTTTAATTTAGAAACTATATTATTTATTAATCAATACACGTTTAAAATAGATAGTCAATATTATGATAAATTGTGGGTTACTAAATTTATCTTAATTCGGGTATTAAAAATTGGTATTGATAAATATTTAAATACTTTATGCATATTTAAGGCACTTTCCTTGGTGATAATTTGTATTTTTTCCAGGTATCTAATAATGTTCTATAATTAAAGAAGTATAGGTACCTACTAAAATCACTATAGTCACTACTAAACTGAAGTTCATTTTCAATTTCCTTGTTTTTTGAACATATTAATTTGTTTTTTTCGAATACCAGTATTCAATAACAATAATTTTTGTTTGCTGTTATATTTTCAAATACGCTTATAGATATCGGATTAATTCGAGTTCAAAACTCTAAATAAATTAGCCATTAGATGCATATAGGGCAAGTCATTGAAATGCGCAGATTGAGTAATATTTGCAGGTCACGCAAGCAATGCAAGTTTAGCACTCTGTTGCAGTCGTATAGCTGCAGTGTAATTGTGTGCATGTAATAATATTATGATATATTTCACTTACTTTACTTCCCAGTGTTTAACGTTTATCGGGGCAGAGTCCAAAAAAAATGGATGAATAGTAGTGGTTTTTATGTTGTTCGATGGGTTGGCCCTTAGTTCTTCTCTAAGACTGGCCATCAGACCTACAAAGACGGAAAAAGTTAAGCTTAAATTATGTGCACAATAAACTATAATAATAATACAGATTACAGAGTAACAGTTAGCCTTTTTGTTTTATTAAAAAAAAAAAAAAAAATGATTAATCAATTCCATCAAAAATCCTAATTCCGATTGGTTATTATTATCATATTATATAATATAAAAATGTGCGTGTATTAGGCACACATAGGTAGTAGGTACTTAAGACTCTTACCTGTGACACCGTATTTAGTAGCTGCATAGGGTACGATGTTGGCTGCACAAGTGAACGCTGCCACCGAGGACGTGGCCACGATGTGGCCTTCATTGCGTTTCTTCATGGCTGGCAAAAAGGCACGTAACATCTGAAAATATAAAAAAAGCAAATAAAATAAAATATTGCCTAGGTCAAACGATCATATAATGCAGATATAAACAGGACTAGGTGCATAAAAAACGGAGGTAAAGGGTATAGGTACCTATAATTCGAACGCAGAACAATTGACGTAAGAGATATATAGGTATAATATATGTTATCGGATTCCGATTGCGTGTTCGATATAGGTAGTAAAATAACAAATGTAGACAACGAAAATAAAAATAAACGACTTTAGGGTTAAAAGCCGACCTTTATTATTCAAAATCGCCATACAAACTTTGTATGTTAACTATACATAAAGGAAATAAGTATACTGCGTAGATATACCATTTGTGTAGGTACGTTTTATTTTTCCGTAGATACGCATTTAAGTATATTATTATTTCGTAAAACTCCGTACAGCGTGTTGTAGGTACGCGACTCCGATAGCGTAGAGGATAAATGTTTACCAAACTCAAATTCACCGGACAGAGGCGTATTTATAGAAGGGGTAAGGGTTAGCTTTTTCCCTCTTAAGTTAACAAACGAATGATGATTTTAATGAGTTTACCCGTATATCAGTATAGGCATGTGTTATAATATGGCTATAAAACATCATTCGATTTATATATCATCTATTGTTATCCACTTAAGTTTTTATTGTAATTATTTGTTTCAATGTTTGTAGATTCTGCAGAGCGGAGCAGTGAAAATGTATTGGTATTCTACAGCAAGAAATATTTTAACTTTTGCAATGATTTATTGAATTTAAAATTTTACTCGTCCATTACAGAACTATATTTCTCCCGGTTATTAGATTCTGAGTAGAGCGTTAAATTTATAGACTTTACAATGATGACGTGTATATGATTTTTTTTTGTGTGTATGTCTGATGTCCCCTTTTGAAGCAATAAAAATACTTCAATCTTTGAAGATAGTTTTTGATAATAAATTGGATTGAACTATGTCTAACGAATAATCGTAGATTTTTAAAATTTTCACCGAGTACTGCCATACACCATAATGCCATTTTCTAGACTTGATAAAATAATTTTCAAAATTTTAAGTCGTTTTTAAGCTATTTATCGATATATATTTTCTATATTTTTTTGTTTTTTTTTTTTAAATGTATACGTATATTTCTTTTCTTGGTTAAAAAGCTTGACATTTTACACAAGATTCTTTATAAATTTTTCTTACATCATAAAATTATCAAAAACACATAGGTATAGTTAGTAAGTACAACATTAAACAAAAACGATGTATTATTGTTTTATTGGAATTAAAAAAAAAAAAAAAAAATATTAAACATATTTATGGAACTTATATGAGAAAAAAAAACGTAAAAATGTTTCGCCATTGTATAATCTATTTTATAATTTTTTACGCGATAACATTTTTAAAATATTTTAAGCTATTTATATCATGAACTATATTCATACTGCTTTACGATATGTTAGTATAATAAATACTCATAAGTTAAAAATAATAATATTAAAATTGTTATTACATAATATATCTATGTGGTTTTTGGGGGAAAACAAGTTCATCCTACTTAGTATTTACTGTATTACGAATACAATTTTTTTTTTATTTATAAAAAAATAATGTAACATCATGTTCTTATAAATAAAAATTATAAGCTGAATGCTAATAGATCGTTTCTACTCTGAATTGTATTTCGTTTACAATGATTTACGATTATTCTCTCATTAAATTTAAATTTAACTTATCTTCTTGACCTACTCAATGATGAAGTAAGTTAAATTCATTTGGAACCTATTATATGGTTAAGTGAGTTACCCGGTATTTCTAATTTAAAGAATGTTTAGATACATTGCATAAATCCTATAAGTTATAATTTAAAAATAAATTTTAAAAATTTATGGTAAATATTATTTTAAAGTAGATTCAAACATTTAATAACATTATTTAGCATAATTTATTAATATAAAACTATCATAAATTAATATTAGATTAAGTATCTATAAAAAAAAATGTATGATTGTACTCATCCGTTTTTATACTTGATTTTCGTGTACGATGGCATAATACAAATAATTATTTTTTACGCCATCGATAAAAAACGTCTAAAATGTACATATTTTGGAAACGCTCGAGGTATACTTATTTTATTTTTAAACGCCCGGTATACTTATACACTTGCTAAAATATTGTACCTATTATTCGACTATGGCTGCAAGTACGGATCTTTTTTTTTTTTGCTCGTACGCGCAGGACAGATTCGAATCGTTTTGCATTCATATATTATAAGTATTTTAATGTCAGTTGTAAACGCGCGTTTTAATATAATAGAATATAATAGGTGTATATAACATTTCGTTTTGAAAGTCGTGTCCGAAAGTTATCGCACCGGAGACGCGCGGTTTTATTTTATGATCCCATATTCAAAATTACGGGAAACCGTATACTTTTATGAGCAATGTCGAGACTTATTTTCCGAGTGTGTTTCGAATGCGACCATTGGGATTTAAATACATCCGGATGATACCTGTATGTTTTATATAATATATAGTGGTTTTGTTTCTACGGCAATGAGTTCGTAAGCGTTTCCGTTTCGCGAGCTTTTATCATATTCCTGTGGGTACGTTTTTACTACAGTTGCGGGAGTTTTACATATTATTATTATGTTTTGGACGTCACGTGTTACATTCGAAATGTAAATTTAATGGAACGCCCCATGTATATTTATCGCGTTCCACGTAATGTTCCGAGATAATATAATGTCATTTTTTTTTTAAATATATACGTCGATTTTCTTTTCTATACGTTTTCCTATTCGTTCACGTTACATCACGTGCATATTACATACATACGTGTGTACATATGTATTATATAAATAGATATTTAAGCAAAAGTTACAAGAGTGTATTTATACATATAAATATAGATTATACATGATGGATACTCTACCTCAAGTGTGCTGTTAAACTTTATATGTAAACGCGTTAGGATTAAACACTCTTCGGCTACATAATACATATTATATTATTACTAATACAGTTAAACCTCTCTATAGTGGACACCATAAGGGAATTAAAATATGTCCGCTATTAAGAGGAATATTATCCCGTGGATATTTACTCTTGAAATTTTGTCGCTTTAGCGCTATTAAGGCGGTGTGTTCGTTAACAAAGGTTACGCGCATCGTATCATTATTATTATTATTATTATTATTAATGTATATTAACAAATAAATACGCGTCGTTTACACTAGTGTTTTGTAGGCGCGTTTGACTTTTGTGCAATATATATTTAATTGAATTTGTTAACCAATGACCGTGACTCTTTTAATGACTTGCCGCGTTTAGAGGTTAAAAATACAAGTTTCTAAATTATATAGTATTATAGCTGGCGTGTGCGGTACACCTATGGACAATAAGACTTTAGATACCTACCTATATTATCTATTATAACGTACAAACTTACACGTGTTCAAGTAATCAATTCGAAATTGTAATCTCATCATATGTGGGCAATAAACATCGCAAATAATTATAATATTATCACAGTAGATAGTATAATACTCTATGTACACGTTAGTGGTTTTCAATTTAAAAAATTGCCTGTCATCGTATAAAAACTAAGTGCGAGTACCTATTACATTACTATATACAGTTATTATAATTGCGTTTTATAATGCGTATCTACCATCTATTATTATTATGCAATAACTTATGACAGATCATATAATATGGATTATATGAACGCGCTATTAAGCTATGATAAGATGTCAACAAAAAGTTCTCATCACGATTAAAAATATATAGTCGTAATCTATTCATCTATATTTATAATAATCGTGATTACGAATAAATTAACGTGGTAATATCTCAAAATACAATACTTTTCTATGTCTTGATATCATCAATATACCGATGTTTTTCCCCAATAAATGATAACCACAATAAAGTATTTACTATTTTTCTTTTTATTGGACAAATATTATATATCGAGATGATCTTCAAATTGTACTACCTTTAAAATGTACATAATATTGTAAAATGTGGTGTTGAAAATATATAAATACATCACGGACGAAAATCATCGTATCTATTTGCAATTCGTTATAAATAGGTACCTACACTACAACACGTCATTGTTTTTGAGCTTTGAGGCTCTCTTTTTTCTTTAACTGTCGACGGCTGTATATTATATTCAGTAAAATATCTGACTGCGTTTCAAAGAAAGAAGAATCCATAAAGATAGGTACTTCAACATCGTGTTTGGTTTTAAAAGAACCAGCAAAAAATTATCAGGGTCATCATGATTGTCGACAATATAGAATAATGAGCCTTTGAATTTGACTCATTGCACATGATATCACGTACGCACTCTAATATAAGTAATGGCTTATGGAATTATTGTAGTTGTACACAAACCTATAACCACACGGACTGACACATTCACACACACACACACATATATATATTTACTACGCCATTTGTGAAATGGCTCGCGTTAAAACGATTTAATTTAACAGTTTCGTGCGACTCGGCAATAATAATAAAATTGTCTTTGCACTAATGACAAATATAATTACCGAGGTACCTACCTACCTATTTCCTCGTGTCTGCCTAGTTTTCGACAACGAGTTCCGCAACAATATTGCATTTAATGTAATTGCTGCGTATTCAACATAATTAATTGTGAATTATATTTTTTCATTTAATTTTAAACATTATACTTATACATATTATGTGAGCTCGTTGTATCGTAGTATGTTGTTTTTAACGAAAAGTTACAGATTATATTATTATCTGCCAAATGAACATTTGATTATAATATTATAATTCATAAAATAGGTAGTTTCATTAAAATAATTAATTAGACATTTGCAGTAGGTATATATATCAAAAACGATATAAAAATCAATTATGGTTGCAATAATAATATTAAGTAGGTAGGTCGTATTATGTTTACGAATAGAAATCCATTTCGTTTACTTACGAACATCTAAAAACAATTATACTGCAAATTTCCAACTTAAATAATTTACGCTTCGCAGTTAAATTAAAGAGTAAGTTTGAGATCTCATCACTTAATGTCAAAATCGAATTTACATGACGGCCGGGATGGATCAAATGCTATATTTTCTATTGTTTTTCACTATTTCAGTATTTTGTTGAGTTATAAATGTTAAGATGTTAGTCTTTATATGTTTTACGTATAAGTGAGCGCGCACACATAATAAATTAAATCCCGAATAATTTTTGTTGATTGGATTAATAAAATTGAGATTTAGTAAATCTTAGGATAATATGTTGGTAAAAGTTGGAAATTTTTTTATCAATTGTTTGGTATTTTTTCTTTTGCTTTATATTCGTATATTAATTACAATATTATACCTGTAGTTTTAATTTAAAAATGATAATTATTGTTATCAAAGTATATTAAGTACTTTATTAGTAATTACTAGTGTAATATTAAATACTTACCTATATTATTATTTTTACTATGACAATAGATTTATATTATTATTTTATGTACTCGTTTTATTATAAAAGTTGTAATTATTGTACGCAGTTAGTGAAATTTACTGCGATCAACATTGAGAGTTTTAATTTTGACTTAAATATAAATCATGTTTATTTATTTAATTGATTTACGTCCATAGAGGGCAACAGTAGGTACATTATGATATATATGAATACATAATTTGGAATACGAGAAATTAGTTTGAACTATAAAACATTTAGTGTACAATATTTTAATTTTGTCTTATCATCAATAAAAAAATCAAAATTTCTCAAATCATCACAGAGATTTAATATATAATATACAGCTATCTTACAGAGCTTCTTAAAGGAACTATTTGACACGTGTAGTACCTAGTCATGAAATCAATAAATAATTAATCAATGAGTTATAATGGCTATTTCATATAAGCTGTTCGTACTTAATACTGTGTTGTACACACAATATAGTTAATTATATTGATCTAAAAATATATTGCGCAACTCAAGAGGTTACAGTAGCTAAGCTTGCACAAATAATAATTTTTTTAATAAAAATATACCCAACAGAAAATAATATGTGTGTATTTTATTTTATACTAGTGTAGTGAATATAGTACCTAATATACTTACATAATAACAATTATAATTTTTTAGTAAATGTATAATATTGTAATTATTATACGAGTATAAAACAAAGAAAAAAATATCTAACAATTGATAAGAAATTTTCGACTCACTCCAACATTGATTGTTTATCCTAAGATTTATCGAATTTCGTTTGTTAAAGTCTGAACACTCTGAACAACAAAAATAATTCGGAGTTTAATAACCTAACCGGTATTCGTACTTTTACTTAACATAAAATATACGTGTGCATAATATGTTTAGTTGATAGGTGCCCGTCGACAGTGAAGAAAAATAAATATATCTTTCACACTTCGACTTTAATTTTGTTAATTTATACCATTACCGAGTTAAATATATCCACGCAAAGACCTCTTAATGTTCCACGACATATATATGAAATTAATTAGCTCAGCGAAAAAGCTTAAGCTATCTGAGGGGCGACTTATGGTTCGCGGCGCATGATATCAAAACCATTTATGACGGAAAAATAATATTGGTGTTTGAGACTAAGTGTTTATTGTAGAGGGGAGGGGAGTAATTTTTTTAAATTTTTTTGAGGAGAGAGGAGAACACCGTTACAACTGTATTACTTTAGATACCAGTTGTGTTATTGTTGTGTCACTCACCCAAAAGTGCGAAACCAGGTTGACGTCGATCATGCGCTTGATCTGATCGTCAGTGGTGTCCATCAACGGCGCGCTAGCTACAATACCCGCGTTGTTGATCAGCACGTCCACCTTGCCCCATTTTTCTTCTACCGCCTTGGCCAGTTCGTTCACCTGATTCGGCTCGGCTACGTTTGTCGTGTAAAAATCGGCCCTAGCGTCCGCGCCCGTCCGGTCGCCGTTGATCACGTCCGCCGTCTCCTTGACGCCCTCCGCGTTTATGTCCACGCACACCACTTTCGCACCCTCCTGGGCTAGCTGGTAGCTCATCTCCCGGCCAAGTCCTCTGCCGGCACCGGTCACCTGATGGGAAACGTTTTAATACGTTTGTCACAATATTCGATTACTAAATTATAGTATTATAGTATTATTTTAGTCACTAAACACGTTTAAAATGTAGTCAATTTGTATGGCCAAGTTTTAACAGTAACAAATTTCGTATGCCTTTTACTGGCCAAAAATGTGTGGGCACATACTAATAATCGTAGTGCTATCAATATGAATACTAAAAAAAATTTAAAATATTGACATCCGTTTTAAATAATTAAATGATACACTTTATAGGTGTTTATAAAATATTATTGAAAAATATAAATACGTATATGTAGGTAATATTATTTTTATTATTATAATTATTATGCATACATATTAAAGTGATTATACAAAAAAATAACTGAAAAATGTTGTAAAAATAATAGACAAATATTCTTCCAGTAAATTTAGTTATAGAACATCAAACATAATATTTGTCTATATGTTATGGTTTTTTAGAAAAAGAAAAAAATCAACTTTTTAATAGTATTATTACATCATTCATTAATTTTTTTTCAAGTATACTTAAATAAAAAACATATTATTGTTTATAAAAAATAGAACTTTAACTATAAGTTACTAGTTAACGTTAAATTGTTTAAAGTAATTTAAACAATCTAAAATAATTGGCGTAAAACGTTAAAGTGTGTATATCTACCTACTTTTTATATATTAAAAGTCATAAACTGCCTAGCTAATAATGAATTTTATTATGTTTTGGATTTAATATACTTACGAGTACGACTTTATCTTTTAATGATTTTTTTACTGGATAAATGCTGGTAAATGCTAGATTGATGAATGCGTATATCGAATGAATAATTCCTACTACAACTTTCGTGATCATTGGTAAATAATCTAATATGATGTTTGAAGATGTCTGTCCTCCTGAAAAACAATAACATTAATAATCTTATGGCTTAATGACATTTTATAAGACTAAAATATGTTTGTTGAATTTGACTTTGTTGGTCCTTTAAATTTTAGTTCATTTTATAAAATATTATTAAAAATAATTATTAAGGTGGGTATAATTATAGTTATTTTTTAGATACTTTTTTTTTATTGTAATACTAATTTATTTTATAAAATATGTTCAAAAATGTTTTCATCAAAGGCATTTTGACAGACCAATTTAACTTTATTCTGTTTAAATGCTTTTATTAGTGCTCGAGACATATTTATTTACAAGAGTTGCAAATAAAAATTTTTTCAGTTAAATTTAGAAAATAAAACAATTTACTACATTAATTGTTGATCAATAATTATGAACCTTCAAATAATAAAATTAGTAATTTTAAACTAAGAAAGTTATTTATTATTTTATTATAACAAAATAATTAATTTAATTAGACAAAAATAATTTTATCATAACATGCATCATTGTAAAATCAATACATTCATCGGCCGGCCCGCTCAGAATTTAAAAATATTTATATTATTATTTAACAGGTGCATCAAATCAAAAAAACATATGATTAAAGACGAAATTGTATAGAATTAAAGAATAATGTCTCATAAAAAAATATCACACAAATCAATAAATTAACTATAATATAATTAACTTGTAGTTAATGAATATAATAATACAAGTAAGTCATTAAACATGTTACTAGGTAATATATCGATGGTATTTTAAAATGTATTATAAACTTTAAATTTACTTTTTGAGATATATTCAATGAAGAATCATATGATTATCAAAACTTAAACATTATAGGAAAAACATACATATCACTTTAGATGTGAGGAACGAGGTATTGAGGTGATGCATACACAGAATCAAGCCATCATATTATATAGATTTGTGTATGATGTGTATTTACGCTTTACATATATCAGAAATGACATATTTAACATAGGGTTGAATCGGGGGAAAAGTTTTAGACTTTATATATATATATATATATAAATGAAGGAAATCTGAATAGAGGGTTTGTTGCGATACGACTGGGGATAAAAAGATGTCCGTCTCTCGTTAGAATTCGCAGAACTTCATCGGGTGTGCGGGCATCCGTACCAAACAATAATACATGAATATATATTTCTCGATAAACCCAAGGGAATGGTTTTTTTATTCGTTTCAACGATATTGTGAAAAGAAAAATTAGAATAGTGTATTTCGAACACTTACTGGTTACTGCAGCTACCACCGTGTTATAATATATATAGTTCTAGACAGGGCTGGTTACTGTTTGAAAATTAAAAGTTAGTCTCTCGGGATATGCCTCGAGGGGGACATACTGATGGTCTTAAATGTGTATATATATTTCCTCCTTATACGATTGGCGATATATCTAACGGCATTGGAACCAATTCTCCGGGGTCCAACCTTTCGCGAAAAAACACCACATAATACGTACCTAACATTTTAAAAATAAATGAAAACTAAATTTACTTTTTATTTATCGAATTGCTTATACTTAATGACTTTTATAATGTTTATATATTTATAACTTACTTATACATGTTTTCAATAGGTACCTATTCAATGTAGTAGTATTGACATCACACAGCGCTTTTGTAAATTTAGGTATCTAACCTATCTATATTCTATGACTGAGCTAACTTTAAATGGTTATTAAAAATATCATCTTAAAGTGATAATTATTAACAATAAAAAACGCAGTTGATACATGTCATTCATTAAGAAAATATTAAAAAGTGTGACTTAAAAAACCTGTAAACCATAGTGTAGTTTACTCATTAAAAATTGATGATGGTTTGTTAGAACATTATAATAATACATTAAATAACAAAAAAATAAAAAGCTATTAAATATAAATTATTTATTCTTAGGTTTACTAAACTACTTTAATGTTTAGTATTTATGCTGAGTATAACATAATAACATATTATATAAAATATAAAATATACTCATTTTCCTTTTTAATTTTTATAAAACAGATAAGATAAATTTATAATTTCTATATCTAAAAATATAATTTTATTTACTATAATTGGTAAAGTATAATATAGGTACATTCGTGTTCCTATCCGTGTATTTTTTGATGAATTATGAGTCACTAATGACTAATTAAATGACTTTTTATACTTATGTTTTAGATTTTGAGTGATGGAGAATTTTACGTTTCTCCATACGATTTTTTATTTTACGTTTTTATTTATGGCAACTTTTTAGAAGTGGGAAATGTCATCTAGTTAACATTTGTTTATAAACAAATAATTTCTTACTTTTCAAAACTTTTCTTTAATTTTAAAATTAAAAACCATAGGTACAACAAATAAAAAATTTGTAATAAATGTGACTTTATACTTATTGAACAATATTTTTAACGAAATAAATTTTTTTGTTTTGTTTTGTTTTTTTGATAATTTAGAAAATAATTAATATTCTTGAAAATTTTCTATTTTTATAACTTATTTTCATTTAAGAAAGTAAATATGTACGAGTATATATTTACAGATAAGATATACCTAATTAATTGTATAATACAGCATTATAATTATGTATTAATTTATACGCCCAATTTATAAAATTATATGTTAACATTACATTTTTATTTATTGTATGAAATCTTTATTTAAAATATTCATAAAAGTTAGTTGTATAGTTTTATGGCGTATATAATATTGTTATTTTTATGATAATTATTTTATTGGGAACTTATTGGAAAGTTCTAAAGTTATTATCTTAGTATTTATAGGCAAAATATTTTCAATTTGTATTTCCAGGGCAAACAAGACAACCAAAGCTAATAAACTGGTTCAACGTTCAACAACTTTCAATTATTTATCTATTATAACATAGTAAACGTATAGTGTGTACTGCGTACAAACCTATTACGTAGTTTTTAAAGTAGTTCGTATTATAATCTGTAAATGCTTTTAATTTACTAAAGTAATTGTTCGTTGAACTAAATAATTATGACTTAGGTACGGAGGCCGGGATACAACTACACGTTTTTCACATTTCATAAAGATATAGATGAGGTATATCTGTTTGAATTAATTAAGTAAATACTTTTCGAATTTACTTGAAGCACGGAGCACAATAATAAGCTTAAAATGTTCATTATCTAATTAATTTAATTAAAATATTAAAATTCAAAAACAGTTTGTTACTTTAAATATAAGATTATAGTAAATTTATCTACTCCACTTTTTACAAAATAAATGTATATCACTATTCACTATCATATAATATTTTAATCTCTCTATTTATTAGTTATTATATCATTTAATATGTTAAGTAAAATTAAATATTGCAAGATTTTTCTGATTTCTCAAAACGAAGGTTAAAAAATGAGTGGTAGAGTAAATCACGTCATATTAAATTTCCTTATGAAAATAAAATATATAATATGCTATGAACAAAATTTGCTATAAACAAAGGTAATAAGTTATTACTAATAACTATAGGGCTCGGATTTTGTAGTAAATGTTTCTTTTGAGTGGAGTGTTATAGAAATATAATTCTTATATATAAATTCGTTTTGAATCGTTCTGATTTCAATGAAGTAAACTTTTTTTTTTGATTTTTTCCACAAAACCTGCTTTTTATTGCTTTTTTCCTTATTTTGTTCTTTTTTCTTAATTTTTACATATCTTTCTTGAAAATTTAACTTAATTCTATGTATGTTATACTAGTGCTAAAAATACTTTATTATTATTGCCAGAAATTATAAAACCGGTGAAAAAACAGTAATAAATGGATGACTGATCAATTAATTATCGTTATTGTGCCGAAATTGTATAGTTTTAAAATTATTTGGATTATATCTGTGTATTTTTATAGCACGTTCTAATACTTGAGTTGACCGGTCATATTAATTAGTGAGGTATAGTGTTATAAATAATTTCTCTATAATCGTTATTAACACCCAGTAGGATGAGTTTTAATGAAAGTAAATTGACCAAATATATGGTCATAAATTCTTTTTTTAATATTCAACTTAATGTGTAATTTAAATTTGTTTTTTTAGAATTAAATTTAATAAATGCTTTTTTTTTGGCTACTTAAAATTTTTTTTTTAAGGATTTATTTTGCTACAAAATCCAAGCCCTACTAATAACAGTACTACATAATATGGGATTGGTGTTTCTTTTTTAAAATTACGATTAACTATTAAGGTAAACGAACATTAATCATTGTTATATTAAAAATAAAGATGCACAATATTAATATGATACGATTTGAAATTCTATAGCAAACGTACGCCTATAATGACTGTATTATATAGTATGAGATACTGATAATTTTTCTTCTGGAATATAATTATCATCGGTCTGGAAAAAATAAAACGATTCTATAGGGACCAAATTTGACGGTGAGCTAAAATTTTATTTAAGTATTACGGCCAATAGTAGTTATCTATTGTGGGTACCGCGGGTGATACGTTATTAAAATATCTCAGCGAGTACACATATTATCACGCTAATACAATTTAAACAATTAACCAGCTATATCATATTTTTGTATAGACTAAAAAATAATAACACAAATAATATTATATTATTATTATTAAATAAAACATTATTTCGTGCGCGTACCGTTTAAAGGAGATCTGTTACCACTTACCAGTCCGTTGTGCTGCTTCCATTTCGATTGCTTGTTTTATCCAATCGATTGCGATGTGTTTTATTGTTGTTACAATCGGTTTCCGTGCAGCCGCGTGACAATGTCGACGACGATGTTTTGATGACTGTGATACCTACGACAACGATGTACCTACGTCTTACGTTTACGGTGAAAATGGTATGATGGGGCCGTTCAAGAACGCCTACTATGATCAAGCTATGTGTGCCGTAATAGTTTAATTAGTTTATATGATTGTGGAAGATCACCTTGGTGTGCATTCAAGCCTTATAACGACAGATGCTGTCGGCGTCTTTTTACTAAATTGATGTGTATATAATATTATATTATACTCTCTCGTCAAACGTAGACTCAATTTTTAGACGTTCAGCGCGGAGGTATAAATACTGCACTAATTTGAAACGAGTAGACGCGAAAAATATAATGTGTACACTGTACAGCAATATAAATGAACTGCAATTAATTATTTGAAATAGTTCGTGTCATTGTATAATATTATGTTCAACTATTAAGGTTACATGAAATATTTCGAACGCTAGGCCTTGAATTTTTTCAGGTTTATTTTATTTAATGCAATAAATGTAAGTTCTTTTATTTATATTGCATTTATTTTTGAATTTTTTTTTTTTTACATATTTGTAGCAAAACAAAATTTTAGATTTTTTACAGAGCAATAATTTATTGATTTCATGATAATGTATTTTTATTTTTGTACTTGTAGATGGTTTTTTTAGTAGAAAGAATGTTTAAATCGTCAACTTCGATAGAGGTTCCTGTTAGTAAAGTGTAATGAATTGGTTTTTTTGAGAGGTAAAAATTGGAAATTTTCAGTAATTTTTTAAAATAACTGGGGAAAAAATACAAAAATTTGCTAAAAAAATTGTTTGGTAATCTTGGTTACTAAAAAGTTAGATTGTTTCTGATTATAGCGGTTTAAAATTGTTTGCCTATTATACCTATATGGGCTATATGCAATGATTTATCATTAAACTAAAATTTTAATTATCTATTACAGACCTTCCTAATGATGAGGTCCGCTGAATTCTTTCTGTATATTAAAGTGGTAACCTACTTATCCTCATTTTTTTAATTGTATCTTATTTTAAGTACGAATTTCAATTAAATTAATTTTGTTATCAAGTTAAAAGTTTAAGTACATTATTTTTAAAATTACCTATTTTAATACATAAACACTGAATTTCAACTAGTACCTATCTATAATAGTTAGTTAGTTATACATTTTAATAGTATTAAAAGCAGAGTTTGTATTTGAAAAATAAATTTGTCATACCTACCTACGTTTTTTACAGTTAAAACATACAAATTTTGAGTTTATCGTTGTTTAGAATTTAAATGTTATTTAATTTTTGCGTTTATTGTTATTCAGAATTAAAATTTTTAATATATTTTATAAATTATAACTATTAAATAATTGGAAATCATTATTTCATTTAATAATATACTATATATAACGTTTTGCGTTATGTTTTGTTTTATATTATTTAATTATTTATGTTTATCGTTTTCCGTTATAATTACGTTTACAAATTTCAATAGTTTTTTGTCAAATATAACGTTAAAAATTGTTTGCAAGCCCTGATTAAAATATTATATAATTAGAGTGGTATAGACCAGAATTTTTCAGTGTTCTCCTGTGTCACTTTATTCTACCTATTTAAACTTAAATACTTATAACAGTTATAACTACAGGTTTGAAAATATAATTTGTTTACATCGAAAGACTACCGAAAAGTATTCTGTTTTTGAATATGAAATTAAAAATATTTGTATTAAAGAAAAAAAATAATGATGATAAAATGATAAAAATAAAGTCTTTTTCTTTTTATCAGAAATTTGTTTTGCAATGTCATCAAATTATGTTAAAAAATAATTATTTAAAAATAAAAGTTAAAACTTTTTCAAAATAATAATTGTTAATGGATAGCTTTATATAATATTAAACTGTACATTTTTAGTAATTAAATATGTATAATGTATATTTTTAGATTTCGTTGGAAATTGTAAATGGTGTAGATAACTTTAGACTATAATATACTCTACAGGTATTTTGTATTATTGATTTTCTGTTTATTTATTAAAATTAAAAAAAAAAGAACTGTTAATAAAATAAATTATAATAATTTTAATATTATATTTAGTAAGCGTAAATAAAAATAGATTAGGAAAATGTATTTTAATATGTTAATTGCAATAATTGTGAGTTGTAAGGGCAATATTTGATTTACAAACGTACAATTTAACAGTACACAATTTAATTTTACTATAAAACAACTTCATTTATTTTTAGTTGTAAACGGCATAACTGCAAAAGTATAAACATTACATGCTAGTTTTTTTATTATAATATTCTCCTTCAATGCGTGATGAACGTATCTCAAGGATTTTTTTAAATGGCTGGATGGATTTACACTTATTTCAATGCTCAAAAATATGAATCTTCGTGTGACACTTTGTGTATTTTAGTAATATTAATATGTTGTGTGTATAGTCTATATATTATACACATATTTTAAGAATATTTTTTCAATTAAGTTAAAATTCATATATTATCAATCAGAGTAGTATATTTATTTTAAAATCGTTAATCTGTTAAACATTTTTGAATATTGTACATAATTTTAGTTTGTCATTTATCTATTTAACGCCTTATCAGTTAGATACCTTTTTTCGGTTTATGAGTTTTACTGAATAATTTTATTAATGACTAAATTGTCATTCAAATACCAGAAAATTGTGTAAAATTATAATGTAAACACTAAATATACTATTAACATATGTATATATCTATACAGCGTTTAATATTAATTTATTAATCAATTAATGTTTAATGTAAAATGTACTTATTACTTTCTATCGCATTATGTCTGATTGCTTTTAGTTATGAAATGTAAAACTTTAAACAAGCAACTGATTCTATCGACCTTGTCACAACTATAATCTATAAGTGAATTAAATTGTTTTTATTCATAAGATTAATTAGATTAATATAATGTTCATTCATTGTCAATAACTTATAAATAAATAATATTTATATGAGTGATTTAAATTAATTTAGATGACATCAGATAATCATGGTATAGCAATATTTATTCTCAATTGAAGTTTGTTGTATTGTTAGTTTAAAAATATATTAATCACAGAAACTCAAAACATTTTATTTTAATTTAAATTATCATTTTTTATATACACATAAGTTTTTAAAATATTTATTTTAATTTTAAGTTATTTATAGAATCTCACATTTTATATTTTTTTAGTCTTTTTCTATTTGCATATATTGATATTTTTATCTCAGGTAAAAAGTTAAAAGATTCTATTATATGCTTATATTATATTACATTTTAATAGCAAAGACTTAAAATTTGAATAAGAAATTTCTTGTTAATTTTTTTTTCTAAATAATATTGAAAATAACACGGGCATAATATTTTTATACATATTTCAAATTCAATTTTTATAAAATTATAAATATACAAATATAGTTATAGGTCTATACTGAGTATAGACCGACAGAAAAATATCGTTTTTCATTGAATTTCAATTTAACATAACTATCATAGTTATTTTATCAATGATGCGTACATTTGGTACTTATATCAGTTCACAGAATCTCAGTTTTTTTGTAAGTTCATTAATATATTTATAATTACTTATATTTTCAAATGTATTTTTACGGTAATTATGACTTTATTATTAAATTATTAATCTCGAAAATTATACAAAACAACGTTGTTTCATGATTTAAACTGATGTCTAATTAGATATTGAATTGATTGAGCAATATTTACTTGTAAGATTGAGGATAATCTTATGCGAAAGTAGAATATATAAAAAAGACAGTATAGGTATAAAAAATCGTTTTAGAAAGTCAACAGTTCGAATTGGAAAATGCATTTTGCGTATTATTCTTCTATTTTTTTGATTACAAATCTATTTTTATATATTATATGCGTAAGTATTATCACTCAATTGAATCTACTTATTTTTAAAATAAGAAAAAAAATTATTCTAACCGTATGGCACGTATAGTATGTATTGGTATATAACATTTTGTTCAATTCTAGCTTGCAAAATTCTTGAATGATTTTTCCAAATAACGGTTGCATTATTCTATCGACTCGCATGTACCTAATCGTCGTCGTGGATTGACTGCTTTCATAGAACGAGTTCGATACAAATTATCATCAAGTCCTTTTTGGACACCAGTTTTTCCAGCAATTCTCTCATTTGTAAAAAATACCTTTCACTTTTCTCGTGTTTAGTAGGCAATGCGACGACATTGTTATATGGCATGATTATAAATACGTGTGTTGACAGAGAATTGTATTTGCTTCATTTAAACGATTTCACTAGATATATCTAATATTTTTCTACTCCACTAGCTTATCTTAATTATTATCACTATTTTCTTGACATTTTCTTGTTCTTTTTTTTTTAATGCCACTAAATATTATCAAAATAAAATTTCTATTTTTCAATAATATGACAATAAACAAGTCAAGATTGATTTTAAATAAATAAGTGTGTAATTTTTAGACAATATTTTATTTAATTACTAATTATAAAAGATTAGTGGAAATAAATTTCAAGTAATAACACTCAATATTTTAATAATTATTTCAAATTTATGTTGACTATGGTCATAGTAGATGATACTATGGTAAAAAATTTTTAACATACGATTCTATATTTAATAAATTCTGTGATACAACGTAAGAACACAATATCTAATGTTCATACTAATTTTCTTATTTTTCCATTATTTTTGAATAGTTTGTACTTAAAACTTTATAAGTAGGCTACTTAAATTATCTTTGACCCTGGGAACGCGTGTTCTTTACATTCAGTTCTTTTAAAACTAAAAAAATTTATAAGATGTAGTGACTTAAACGATTCCCAATCATATTGTAATATTGTTATGTTTTATCAATACATTTTAATACCTAATCTATTAAGAAAATGTATTTTGCTATAAAGCGCCAGACGTGCAGTGTACATATTTTAAGCAGCTTTTTTCTAAATCTTAACATATTATAGGTATAATACGAATTTGTTTATTATTTGTATACACTGTAAGTATTCTAATGTAAACATACCTATGTTTACATGGTATATTAGTCGGTATTATGAACACCTCCGGCATTATTCTATCGTAATAGTAGCTATACAAAGATATGAATAAAACCGGTCTCTCACTTTTCTTCCGTAAATAATAAACTAGACATTTCTTCAATGTTCTAATAATTATTAATATATTT